GAGACGAGAGGGAAAACGTGCGCTCCGGTTCGATGTGCTTTTTAATTCCCGTGCACTTTGTAAATCGCGTACATTCCGTGTAAACGCCGTATCCGCGTGAGAGGTTACAGTTGGAAAAATTCGAATCTCGGGAACGCACGGTTTCCCTCGAAATAGCGCGATTCGTCTCCGAGGAAGCGTACAACTGGCATTACACCCCCCCCCACGTGCAGTCTGGTTTCGAGTGCGTCGAGTTTCCGGCTGGTCGACGGCATCGATACGATCGACGACTCCGCGTTTCGAAGGAACAAGAACGCTAGGCTTAACCAAGTATTACCGCTTCTCGCGAGAAAGCGGAACAAGAGTCGTGGAGGAAACGGAGGACGTCGTCGACCGGCCGGCAACGGGCAGACGCGGGCAAGATTTTCAAATAAAACTAACGTCTAACGATTTTATTTGGGAATTAAAATTGGTTCCAATCGCGGTATATCCAAAGTCTGATTTTTATACCCCGCGAGCAACGAACGGGATGGCTGTTCATCTTCCGTTCGTTGCTCGGGGCTCCGACGCGGATCGGAATTTTTGCTCGCGTCCGGCCAAACGGGTGACCAGGCTAATGGAAGAAAACTATGCGACTGATAGAAAGCAGTATTCGTGCGAGAAATTGTAAAGTAAAATTCGCGTAATCTAGCCTTAATGAGAAAGATCAAATTAGGTTTAATTGCGGCGGCACCGCGTCGAAATTATCTCGATTGGCTGTAAAATGTTGTCGTGGAAGATTAAGGGCCGCAATGGCGACGTTGACGCGCGTCCTTGTGGTCGGCGACGAGCTAACCGACAGATCGAGGACGTCGCCGGACGCGTTCCTCTTCGCACGGTGATGTATCTAGTGAGAGTAATGTTATTAGGTAACTTAAGCGTACGTACTATAAAGAAGCATAACGAAATGCCAGTTGTAAAAAGTTTTTTTCTTTTCATTCTGGGATGTAACCAGTAACGGAGAAATGGAAGGGAACACGTCCCGAGCGAGACACGCGCCCCATTGATCGCCGGGAAATGGAACGCTTACGTTTTGGAACGAAAGGGAAACGAAGGCAGCGAAAGAAGCGCTTGAAATTTTTGTAAAACGGCGGATCGTCGCTTTCGGTCGCGATGTTGTTGCTATCGGAGATATCAGTTATTTCTTTCGTTTTTTCCTTGTTTCGTTTTGTGTGCTCGGGCACACGAGCATCCACGGTACACGATACAATTGTAAACGATAATAGCGATAAAGGGAAAAGCAGAAGGCGATTTTTTTAAATGGGCGAACGGAACATTGTCATGTGTATACGCGATTACAAATTTTTCGAGAAACGACAGCTTTACCGATAGTTAAATCAATAGTTTTTCGCAAACACGAGCACACACGTAACCTTACACGTACACAGAGAAGTACAGACACACACACACACACACACACACACAGACACGCGCGTACACACTCGTACACGGACACACGGACACACGTACACACGCATATATACATATAAAGCGATCCATGCGACGACAAAAAAAAAAGTTGTATGAATATAACGTTTGCAGTTAGGTGGGACCAAAAACGACTTTATATCTCTATGTGCATATCCAAGCAACGTGTAATTTAATTAATGAATTAATTAATTATCCATTATTAATGACTAGGTAAAGAAAAAGATCCATTGATAGCGATCGAGGACGATGACGAATCATTAACCAATAATTAGATTATTAAGTTTGTTTATTGATGCATTATTCTATGATATAATAATTATTATTATTATTAACTTTATTGCCTTTATTATTATTTTATTACATTGATTAATGCCGATGATAATATTATTATTATTATTTAAACAACGTTTTAAGACATGATTATTTAGATATCGAATAGAACAGTACGTATCATTAATTATTAATTATTTTTAATTATTATTATTATTATTATTATTATTATTATTATTATTATTATTATGAGATATTTTGTTGTATTATTTTCAATAAAATCGATTGAAAATATTTAATTTCCTCGGTTTTACTTTTTATTTGCGCTTCGCCAGCCGTTCTGGGTTGCTGAAAAGTGATTTCTTCTTCCCTTCGATCAGGAGGACCGCGCGATTTCGATATTTTCGTTTGCTTTCAGCCGCGCGCGGGACAATTCGCGAGTCGCGACAGAAGGTCCCGACGGAACGTCGACGGGATCTTCTCGAGCGGTCAGAAACCGGAAACGAGAGGAGAAGCAGGACAGGAAGTCTCGAAATCACGGCTCTCCGACCGATACCACCATTCTCTTGTTCGGTGCCTCGGTCTAGTTGGTTCTTCTTTGATTTTCTGCTTTTTTTCCTTTTTATTTTTCAGTTTGGATTTCGTTGGCTGCGTCTGTATACGATTTTTCTCCCCGCTAAAAGCCCCCTCCGAGCAGTCACGAACCGGGGGAAGATGGAACGAACGGTCGCAACAGCACCGTACACGCGTGTCATTTAAACGAGATAGGAAAAAATAAAAAAAAAAAAACCGAGAAAACGGAAGAAGAAAAGGCACCGGAAAGTAACGCCGAAAGCGAACAGGTTAAAGGGACACTGATCGATAAAGCAAAAGGTCATAAGATGCGATCGCTGAAGTGGCGAACAAAGAAGATGATTATTATTAGCTCTACCCGAATGTTCTGCCCGCGTATGAAACGCACCGTGCGGCTTTCCCCCTGATGGGAAATATCGATAACGCGCCGTGAACGATTATCCAGTCCCGTTGCATTTTCTACCAGGCCGCGTACGCGATAGACGAGGGCCAGAAATTTTCAATGTTCAAATACTTAAAACGACCCATATCGCGTTTCTGTACATAGACGTCGTGAATCGTAGGAAACGGCCAATACGCGTTACGATTATTAAAATCGGTGACGCGCGCGGCTCCTATTAGTCTGTTATCGGTAACAGTGGTGCAAAGATGTCGGTCGGTAGATAGTATTTGCGACACCGCGTATTGTACGATCTCCGACAAAGTGACGCGAGTACAAATAGGAAAACACGATCGAACGTACACGCTAGCGGGCGGTTTGATAAATTCGGTAGTAGCGAGTCACAGTATTTTTTAACATCGACGAAGATCGGGAGAAAAGATACTCGAGGATCGATCGGGCGGAACATTCCGGGTAGATCTGACGGAGATGCAGGAAGAACGCGTGGAAGCAAACATACAAACGAACAAAAGACATGAACAGAAAACGGTAAACAACAGCAACAATCACAACAACAACAACAACAACAACAATAAACAACAACAACCAATGAAAAAAAAAAATATATATATATATATACAAAACAGAGAGAGAAACAAAAATGAAAATAGTTGTAAAAGTCACACACATACGCGTACACACATACACACACAAATGTACTAAGTAAGTTCATACTGCGTATTGCCTTTCTGACTTCGGTGTGAAAATATATAAATAAAAAAAAAAAAATGTCAGTCGCGCCGGGACTCGGGGATTTTCGAGCGACCTATAAGATATATAGCTGTTTAGTAGTGTCCCGAGGGGCGCACGGTTCGTCGCGTTTCCCGTTTCCCCGTTTCCCCGTTTTTGCCGGCTCCCTCGACGGCTCTGCAGCCGCTTTTCCCGAAAGAAAAGGAGAAAGAGCGAACGGGGGAAGACGCCGGGGCGAAACATGTCCGACGTCGTCGGAAGGCACGGCGAGGCGTTCCGTTTGTTTTCTCGACGCTCGATCTTCCGCCCCTTCGATCTCTTTCTCGAAAACGAACGTCGATCGAGCACCGATCCGATATATATATATCCAATCCGCGAACCGGACAGGGAAACGGGAATTACGACGAGAACACGTCGCTGAGAACAAAAGAATCTTTTTTCATGGTTCCGCAGTAAAAGATGTCCCGAGAAGCCCGCGAAAGTCCCCGCGTCCTCGCCTGCTGTGTCTGTTTCATGTTTTTCAATATTTGTAATTTATCGATAAAATTATTAAAACGGTATCGATACATAACAGTCTAAAGTGTGCGCTACTCTACATAATATTATTATATATAAAGTATAAAAGTATACATTATATATATATATTATATATATATACATATATATTATATATGAGAAGTATAATATATATATTATACACACATTGGGATTGGTGAGAATATACGGTTTTTTCGCTTTGGAGTGTTATTTTCTGAAAATATTGAACAAAATATGGAAAAAAAATTAAAAAATAAAACCAATGAATAAAAAAACAAAAAAAAAAAAAAAAAAAAAAAAAAATGAACGAACCGTTCTTCTGTGATTCTTTCATTATTTTCGTCGCGACACCTCGGCTGCGCTCGTCCCGAACAAAAGCGAACGACGATTCCTCGAGCGTTTCCGGTCCCGTCGTTTGCGGGAACGTTCGCCAAACGGACGGCCAAAAAAATGTCGAAATCGAGGAATGGTTCCGCGACAGGGAACGAAACAGATCGACCGGTCGAAACCGGAAACGAGGTTCAGTTCCGTGCTTCTAATCGTTTTATCTGCGACGTTCGCCGACACCGAGAGGATTGAATGCAAAGAGGTGCACGTGCGCGTCATTTGTCCGTTAAACGTCGAAAAATTCGACGTTGAGCCTCTCGAATCGTACTTATCGCGGACAGCCTTTACCGAAACGTCAATTTCGTCGCTTTGCATTCAACTCCGTCGAATCGGTTCGACGATACGGGAAACTTTGTTTCGTTCGTCGACGCTGAAAAACCATGACTCGACTGCAAAACGACTGGTCGCGCCGAATTTTCAGAAAACCACGTTATTCTAAAGTTTCCATTCCGTAAAATTCATAACACATCTCGCTAACGTATCCGTGGTTCCATGCGCGCGAATTTCTATTTTACTTTTATTTCGATACAGTTTTATCACATTCACTGCCATTTTTTTTTAATTATATTATATTTTTATTTTATATTTTTTAAATATATTAAAGAATTATTCTAAGCTCGAAACACCGGTCACCAGTGACCATCGTTGCAACCAATGTGTCATTGTTATTTTGTAAATTTATTTGCCTGGTTTTCTTCAATACCCTTCCAATAAAATGAAATAAGAGATACGCGAAGATCTATAATTAGTACAACTAACCGGTTACACGATTGTTAGCAAACCGAAGAGGAGTCTGCGGAAGTCGAGCCCGAGAAACAGTATCTGCCGACCCTTCCGACAAAAATCAAAAGCATGCGAGGCACAAGTTTCAGTGTCGTGAGCGAGGAATCCCCGGATCTCATCGAGTTAGACTTCCCCGGCTGATCGTGAGTCGAAACAATCGTATCAAAGCACGTAGAATGTTCGTTTTTCCGCAGATCGCTGGGAAACGCTCTCGAGATTACCGATTACAAGACAAACATGGCCGCCTTCTGGTTCTTAGACACGCTGGCACTCCATGTTCTGCGACAGAAACAGAAACTCGATGACTATTATCTGAGTGTCCTGATCAGCTGGCTGGCTGGGGAAATGACATTGATTCGAGGTAACGTGTTCAAATTAAATATTAATATAAAACGTAACAATCCACTTTGGAGTTTAAATTTTCGTTCGTTGGCAGATCGGAAGCTGTCTCGCGAAGAATTCTTGGAAGAGATGAAGAATATTTTTAAGACTGTCGCTATCAGGGTGTCTGAGGAAAATCGAGTTCCGTATTGGGATGAAATCGTGTGTGACAATGATACAGAAGCCACGGAACATTCGGTAGACAACCTTTTGCCCGCCCAAATGGAGTCCAACCAGCAAGTATCAACGAAAAAGTAATTTCTCCGCTTTTGTCGATTTTTATTAATAAATTTCTAAGTTGGGTCCTGTTCAAATGCTTTCTTTCGTGTTTCTGACAAGTCTGCAGAAAAAGCAACCCAAAGAGTACGAAGATGCTTCTTTATCGATGTCGGAAGAAACCAACAAATCCTCCAGCAACGTAGACCCAGTTGTCGCGTTGGATATCGTGATCGAATCTACCTACAACATGTAAGTTAGCTTCGTGGTTATTAAAATAGTAACTAAATAAATTTTTACCGATCAGGTATGCCAACGAATTTCGGTACAGCCTCGTTTACGCGGTTTACGTGGAGCCGATAGAGATGGAAACCCGTCAGCTGCCGTTTTCTCTCGAAAAACCGCGATCAGTGAAGCTGGTCGATCCTAATTCGATGCCTTTTAACGTGCAACTTAAAAAACTGTTCGCCACGATGAAACAGACGAGGAAGAAAGCTACAGGTGTTATAAAATGGTTTTTTCAACGATCCTCATGGGTTCGAGATTTCATTAATTTTTAAGTTGCAGGTAGAGGAAGGAAGAAAGGGTCGAAAGTACCGGAAACGCCTCCGCCTTCCCTGACGGAGGAAGAGGAACTAATTCGCAAACGTCGATTTATTTTGCCGTTGATCGAAGCAGAGAATGCGCTGGAGGTAATAGAAAAGCACAAGGACGAGGCGTAATATCGAGTGACCAGAAGATACAATACAACAGACGCTGGAAAAAATTGTTTCTTTATTCTCTTCGCAAACTCAGTCCGTTACAAGCATGGTGCCCCATTCCCGGCACTTGAAGTCTTTAATGCGTGCTGAAATAACGGGAACATCGAGTTTGACAAACTTTGGGGAGCTTGGTAAGGCTTCTCGTGGTTGTCCTAACTGCCCGTATTTATTCGATCCGCAGCCCCATAGTGTTCCATCATCTGTCGGAAAGATAAGTCTTACAAACGTTCGTTTCCCTTAAAATTTGAACGCTCGCGATTGGAAACACGTACCCAATATGCAAACTGTGAACGTATTTCCGCATTCGACTTTCTTCACGAGCGTCTCTATCTTTTCGTTTTGAACGTTTGTAAAATCTACCACCGTGGGCACGGCCACTACTTTACAGTCTTTGGTGGGTAGTCCTAATTCCCCATTCGTATTCCACCCCCACGTATACAGATCACCCTACAATTTGAAAATATCTGCTAAAAAAAAAACGCGTTTATTGGATCTGATTCATCCTGTTATGTCTAACATTCACCTGATCCGTTACTACAGCACTGTGCCAACCCATGGCAGAAATCTGAACAACTTTGAGGCCAGCCAGAGCTTCTACAAGTCTGGGATTGTCGCAGTCCTCCAAATCATTGTGTCCTAGCTGACCACGCCTATCTTATACAAATTATATTTTTTTGCCTTGATTGCATGCTTATTTGAAATACTATACAAGCGGTACGTACGTTCCCATTCCCATAGAATAAATGTCCCCATTTTCTGCCAGTAAAATAGTGTGATCAAAGCCGCAAGCGATATCTGTGAACTTTACCCTCTTTGGCATTTCAACTAATGTTGGAACATTGAAGGCACGACCTAAAGCACAATTTATGTATGCAAATCTGACTGTTCCTTAGATCCTGAGTACAGCAAACATGTACCTAAATTTGTAAGGACTACTGTACAGCCTCCTTGTAAAATTTTAAGGGGATATTCATTTTCTGAATCGTTCCTAGGAATAAAGTTGGTCACCTTTCTCCAAGAATTTTTATAAATTTTGTATTGCCATGTTTCAATGTCTCTGGATAGGATTACTATGTTATTTTTACCAACTGCAGCTTGTTGGCAACTATACAAAGTAACAAAACTTGCAGCCAAATACATTTTGCAAGAATTATTTCATTTTAATCACCATACCTGTCTAATGGTTTCCCTGGTATTTGTATTAACCGAATATCTGTATTTGTATCTGTACCATTTTCCAAACCTTTCATGCAAATATATAATTCCTTTCCCCTCCAAAGAAGAAAATAACCCCAACCTATTTGAAAATCGGTAACGCCAGGAAACTGAATTTTAACGAACGAATCTATCGCAAAAACGACCTCATCGTTATCGGAAAACAATGTACCGGTGTTGAAGCCAGCATAATAAAGAGACATATTTCTGCTAATAAAAGATATTATTTCTACACAAGCGTCGTCGAAGAACTCTATCAAACGCTATCTAGTACCTAAGCATAAGATCGAAAGTCCGACTAATGTACACGTTTATAAACAAAGAAATAAACGCCACGTACTATAATCGTACTTATAGATTCTCCCTAGTTAATGAAGTAATAAAGTTTCTATTCGAAGTTCCATGCTTTCACGCAAATGGTGTGAAAGATTATTGGCCAGACAACACAAACATAAGCACCAGTTTCCTTAGATACGAAAGAAACAACACAACAAACTCAGCAGACGATAACCAAGCCAGCAACTTGTCGTGGTTAAGTGTCACCACATTTTTGTTCCAGTTTAATAAGTAACAAACGAAATATGGTAACGAATCAAAGATAACTGACTTTAAAAGTGCACGAAACGTTCTATCATGCACTCCTTTTCGACGCTCGAAACATATCTTTCAAAGTACTGGACGCGTTCGACATAACCTAACAAGCACAGCACCCTCGAGTTTCGACGCAACTGCATTATCTCAAGGCATTTTATTGAATTAAAAATTCTCGTACGACGCACGAACAGCTTTTTTCGAGATTTCGTAATCAATATTCGTGTTTTAACAAAAGATTCTACGAATTTCTGCAGCGCGCCGTAACGCAACTTCACTTTTACAGTGCAATCGCAATTCTGTCTGCTATCTCGAAAAGCGCGCAATTTAAGTCGATATGTTTCACGGAATAGAATCGATACTCACGATTATAAACTCGTTTATATTTATCGCGTTACCGTAAACATTACTGGTAAATAATTCCACCGATACAGAGACGTTTCTTTTTATATTTAAACAGGGACTGTTAGCAATTTTGAGGAAACTGCGCTCGAATCCGGATAAAGAGTTGCGCTTGCTCCTTCTGGGGCTCGACAACGCTGGAAAGACAACGATTTTAAAATCTTTGGCCAGTGAAGATATTACACAGGTATCGAATGCATCTGGATAACTATGCGGGTCGTGTTTAAATTGTCCACGGTCATAAATTGTCTGAATGTTTGTTCAAGGTAACGCCGACTCAGGGATTCAACATAAAAAGCGTGCAAAGCGAGGGTTTTAAGTTAAACGTCTGGGACATAGGCGGTGCACGAAAGATCCGACCCTATTGGCGAAATTATTTCGAGAACACGGACGTTTTGGTGGGTGATTTCAATCTAATGAACTGAAATACCCGGTCTTTCCTTTTTTTGTTTGCATTTGGCTCTCTTACATTGATTTTATTTGTCACATAGCTGATTCTTAATTAATGTTAAGCTGTATAAATATTTAAACACAAACGAGTAAACCCCACACCTTATGGTCTTTAGTGGCCCAATCAGTCTGCCATACCGACCTGAAAATTCGGAGCTGATTTCAGCGACCTCTTCTCATGGATGGCGGTCATTTGAAAAACTATTCACTGAACTAGTATTGAGGTGCAGCGGTAGTGTGTGTGTAAATACATGTAAATTGACTATAGAAGGGATTGAAAAAGGCAATTCAGTATTATCAGACGGCAGATCGGTACCTGAACACTTACACGCAAAAACAAATTAAAAAAAAAAATCGTAGGTGCCTCAATTTTTCGGCGAAGAAAAAAAATTTCAAATCGTTCTGGAAAAATTACTTTCGGTCGCAGGGGTCAATTACAATCATTTTTGGTGAATAAATATATCCCCGAAACCCTACGCACTTTCGAGAAAAAAATTCGAATAGGTGGTGAAATTTTTTAGCAAAAAAAAAATGTCAAATCGTTCTGGAAAAATTATTTTCGGCCGCAGGGGTCAATTACAATCATTTTTTATAAATACACATACCTCCGAAATCCTACGCACTTTCGAGAAAAAAATTCTTTACCGAAAATATATCGGGGGCAATGACTCGGGGCACAAAGTGGCCTTTTGGGAGTACTTTGTGCTATTCGTTGCTAGATGTGTTTACTATTCCACTGTTACAGCGAATAAATAAATCGAAATATGCAGTACAGTAACAAATAAACGATATTAACAATTAACATTTCCTTTTTAAAAAGATATACGTTGTGGACAGCGCGGATATAAAGAGACTAGAAGAGACGGGTCAAGAGCTATCCGAGCTTTTGCTGGAGGAAAAGTTACGAGGTGTTCCGTTGTTGGTGTACGCGAACAAACAGGATCTTGGGCAAGCTGTAACCGCGGCTGAAATCGCGGAAGGCCTAGGATTGCACAATATCAAGGATCGTGACTGGCAGATACAATCGTGCATCGCCATCGAAGGGAAAGGGGTGAAGGTACGGTAACGGTGAATCGACGATCGTGTAAAATTGTTTCAAAGGCTGTAACGAAATCTGAATTCGCTAGGAGGGTCTCGAGTGGGCATGCAAAAACATCAAGAGGAAGTAATGACGGAGGAAGGATCGTTATGTCCACGCAGACGTTGCAACGCGGAACGAAATGGATCACGGTGTATCTTGTACGTCCATTATAAGTTTTATTTGGCTTTTATCTAATATTTACAAGAGCTGTTGCAGACACAATGCCGTTAATAAAATCGGCACGAACGCTCGCGCGCCGTCGGACTTCCGGTACCTCCTCGACAGAGCCTCGGCTCGAAATTCTGGTGCCGGCTGGTGTTTGTTCTAACGAAATATGCCTTCTTACGCGTCTTCTCGTAAAATAGAATTTTTATAGATTTCCCTAGAGGAAACGAATTTAAAAGACAAACAACGAATGCAATCGTATACCGGTGCCTTTGCATTTGAAACACTGTACCGCCACGTTTGCAGACATTCTGTTCGAAGATCATTGAGCACCGTAAAATTGCAGTTCGGTGATAGTTGTGCAACATTGAACAAACATCCTTTCTCAGATTCACAATAAATAAAAGGTTTTCAGAAACTAAACGCCTATGTTATTCGGCCACGTCCGCGGTTCTTCTCCCCCGTATGTACACGCGAAGAAGGTAAAGGGGACTTTGGAACGCGACGAATCCCCTTACCTACGTCGACTTCTTCACCGTGGATCGAGCCTCTTAATAAAATAAAATCGGTTACTTCTTGTCGCGCGTAGTAAACGCAGTCTTATAAACGATAGACGGAACGCGACGATCGCGATCCGTAGAGCTTGACTTATGTAATCAAAAATGTCTTTCACGAGGGTTACACTGAATCGGTGATCAAAGTTCGCTGTGAACGCTCTCCGTGGTCACGCGAATCTCCTCTTCGTGGAACTCCGTGCAATCGGCCGGATACTTTTGCTGAAAATCATAAGAAACGTAAATATTAATCTCATAGTTGAAGATGGCGTCACGAGCGTCGAATTTTGAGGCGTTTCACTTACGACGCATCTATCCTGTTCCGTGATGGCCCCGTACAGGAGCCAGAAACTGGTTCCTAGCTTGTTGCTGACGGCCCAGGCGGTAGGGAAGCTGGTCACCTTCAGCAAACCACTGCGCAGGGGCGATTGCTTCTCGTTCTGTTCGTTCTCGTTGATGGTGCACAAGATCTGACTGGCGCACTGGGGCATCTTGATCGCCCACTTGTACGCGCGATAGGACTGCAAAACGATCCGCGAGATCAAGATTCAGTAACGCGACTTTACCGTTTCTTCGTTACCTTTAACATGGGATCGATGATGTCGTTGTTGATGACGTCGCTGAGTCTGTTGCTGATCTCCCTGGCGTTCACTCGAGACATTATGAAACCCTTCTCGGAGGCCAGGGCGATCAATTCCTGCACGTACGCCACCGCCGGTTTGATGTACTGCGAGCTGTCGAACTTCATGCCCAAGTGCCTTTTCGCGACCACGTCCGTTAACCTGACGAAGAGAACACAAACGATGAACCGGAATTTAATTAGCAATCGCCGTGTCGTAAAACGCGTTACCTGCAGAGGCTCTCGACCGGTCTCATCGCGTCGAACATGGCCAGCTTCGAGAAGCCTTGCGACTTGAGGAAACTGTTCCCCACGAACTGCACCGTGTTCAAGTAACGCTGCTGGATCTGCGGGTCCGACACGTGGGAGATCCACTCCCCCACGTAATTCGTCAACACTCTGATCCACCGTCGACGCAGTGCCGGGTTCTCGAAGCTGTCCAGGATCTCCTCGTAACGGATACGTCCGTCGGGATCGGACATCTGACCGACGAACTGCGCCAGGCCGCTGTTCTTCCACAGAGTTTGGCCCAGTTCCGAGTTACGGAAATGGTCCCACATGACGTGCAGATTCTCGAGGATGGGCGGCATGTACCAAGAGTGGCTCGAGTGGTCGTGCAATTTTTCTGGCTCGCCGTCCACCTCGTTGCTCCCACCGGCGAAATTCTGCAGCAACATGGGCATCACGCCCATCGCGATATCGGAGTACACGTTCTGTCCGAACAGCATGTTTCCCATCTTCAGCAGGCCATCCAGGTCCACGCTGGGCTCCTGCTTCGCGTCCGTGTCCCTGGTGACCCTCTTCGCGTTCTTGTTCGAGTTCACCATGCTGTCCAGGACCGAGCCTATCACCGAATAGTCGACACCCTGGCGGTTCTCGTTCTCGGCGAACAACGACCCGATCCCCGAGATGATCTGCCCCACGCCATCGATGTTCAACTTGCCACCGATCGCCTCGTTCGCCTGTTTGATAGGAAACGAGTAAATTCGACGGTTCGTGGAAATTGTTACGGGGTTCTTAGCTTATCCTTTACTAGAATATCCGAACAGAGTGTGCCAGTGTGGATAACGGGACGTTCGGATGGTAGGATAATCGGATAATCGGTGCTCGGATGCTGCTGGTAGATCCTCGACGCTCGAACCGGTTAGCCACGTTGATAAATATTTACTTTGCTCGATTTACTGTGAATCTGTTTATTTATGGGGGATTTTTAGTAGAAGGCTGTATCTATCCCAATCTATAGTCGTGATTATTCCCCAGGGGGTTAAAAAGATTAATTCTCAAGATTATATGTTAAAGAAAATAAATCTAGATAAGACGTTTGTCTAAAACCAAAGTTTTGGTTTCGTGGACAATTTCCGGGGTTTGGTCCGGCAGTTAACGCGTTAAATATTGAAAGTCGAACAGTAAAAGTACCTGTTTTCCTGCGTCCGACTGCACGAACGCGCTGGCCAGTCCCTGGATGCCGTTTATGTTATCCTTGTTCGAGAAGAAGGATTTCGCCGCCTCCAGGAATATGGTGGACGCATCCTCTTCCTCGCGGTCGTCGCAACTCGCGAGACCAAACAGAACCAGCAGTATCCACGTTCTCGACAGCCACATCTTTCGCGTTTCGCGTGTCTCTTCGGTCCCCCTGGATGTTTCTGAAAGTATCGTACCCCAGGGTACTGTAATATAGTTGTCTCGGGGCCCGAAAAACTTACGGGAGTAGTTAACCTTCGGCCGGATCCCGACTCTGGTCGAGGTATTTTAGGAAGGCGCGGCTTCCTCGAGCTCGCGAGCGACACACTGGAAGCGTTTCGGCTCGTGGTCACTCCGATATACCGTTGCTCTCTCCACGTAACAAAAGACAGTCGCCAAGGTGCCTCGTTGTTACGTGGATTATTCCTTCCAGCGAGCGAATTTTATTCGCGAACAACGAATTTCAATATTGGATTCTTTGCGTACACGTGACAGCAGAAATAGGAATTGTAGCCTCACGATTTACAATACTTAAAACATCTCCAGATTTTAAAAAATTTCAGAAACACTGTTTGCATCTCACAAAGTATCACCGATTTAGTTGATACTCGTTAGTAATGTTCGTTCGATTTTTATCGCTACGATAGGAGTAGAGGGACGTTAAGAGTCGCGGATTTAAAAGGACGAGGATCACGGATCCGGAGTATCGTTCTCGATAAGGTTCCTAGTGTTCGTCCTTGAGATTCCCCATGATCGGGGCCAAGCAGTCGATGCTCGAGATGCGTCGTGAGTGGAAAGAGGGAACGAACAATCGGAGCCCGTGTACACTAACGCGCAATTTCAGTACCGTAAACCGCATGAAATTGACATTCTCCAGTTGGAGGGACGATTCGGGCTAACGGTACACACTGTTAGTCATCGTTCCACCGACGCGGTAAACTCGCGTCAATTGACAGGGCACGCGGTCGTCAACTGGATTCCTTTCTCGATCGAGGGAAGGATCCTTCGTGGTCGAAATTGAAATCGAGTCGCGGTGCCTCGATGTCCCCGTTTCGACCGGATGCAGTGGCGTCGACGCGTCGGATCGTTTGGCCCACGCTTCGAACGAACAAACGCTGCGGAATTATTTTAACGGAACCACGAATTAAATTATTCCGATCTGAAACCTTTTTTCGTTAATTTCTTCTCGAGAACATCGTGGTGGAAAACTGTTTTATATTGGAATTTGGCGCGTACAAATCACGTGCCAGTCGAGGAGTTAAAACGGTTGGCAGAGTCATTACTCCGCCAGTCGTTTTCGCATTAAACCATAAAGCCGTTCTTCCACGTATGGTTGCACAAATTATTACTCGACAGCCGCCTGCACTTTGACCTCTCGCGTAATTTTCTCACCGATACGATTCGACAAGGCTCGATTGGAAAATTATTTATGTTGCTCGTTTTACGTGTAAAGAATTATCGGGAATCTTTCGTCCCAATTTTTTTGCAACGGCCAGGGTTCTGCAACGCGTTCGTGGTTTCCGGGCCAACGGAGGTTGCAGGCTTCCGGGTCCGGGCGCTACGAACGACACACGATGTTTCTCACGAACGACGCGTCGCGTTTATTTATCAATTTAGCGCGCAAACACGGAAAGTGCAAGATTGCGGCTCGTTCTCGCGTGGACGAGAGGGAAAGCGTGGCAGAACTCTCGGAACGTCGTCGGTTTCCAAGGTCAGCCGGACGTCGACACGATTTCCTGGTTCGAGGCGGCGCGACGCCGCGGTCGCGCGTCCCTTTTCATTTTTCTTCCGTTTCTTAACGTTTTGGCCGGACGACGCGACCTTATCGAGATCGTCTGGAAGGAAACAGATCCAACAGAATGGGGAACTTATTATGCCATTTGGAGATTCATGGACCCCGGCGTAACCGGCACTTTGATGCGTAATTAAAGGAGCTCGTTAGACACGGTCAGAGTAACATCGTACGCCGGCTGAACGCAATTTGCCATCTTCCATGTTGATTCGTTTGTAAAAAGAAAAGCTGGTTTATATTGCCTTTCGTCTTCCCAGCTATTGGGTCGCGCAGACCTCGCGAACGTTCGCTGCTTGGCTCCCTGGTCCGGTGAAAGGCGTCTAACGATTCAACGAATCTCGAGGAAAGTAATACCTGGGTCAGAAATAATTAATAAACCTCTCCTTTTGCCAGAAAAATGCTCAGCTAATACCGGGGAACGTGAATTTAACGTTTTAGAATTTATTTACATCTTTATTGCTCGCATAATGACGTCATTGGAGACCTCAGTTATCAGTCAACTCCCATATACAAACGTTAAAGCATGCATAAATAGTTAGTTTAATTTTTTCTTAATTTTAGGAGCTCCCGTTGACGTTCACGCAACATGGCCGCCTAGGACCACGCGCCCCTTCTGCTCCTATCTCGCCACGAACCTAGTACCTGCTTTTTTGAACACGTTTACGCAAGTTTTTTTCAGACACATTCATTCAAACCGTTAACTCGAGCTCGAAAACCATGTCAGTGTCAATTACAGCACGCGTTATCGTCGAAGTAACTACAGTCGGAAGAGATAAGCCTCATTATTTTCCATCGGCTATTATGGCGCGCGTCTTTTTCACGCGTGTTGAAATTTCCCCGAGTCAGGAAGTCGTTCTTTCGTCACGGAACGTTTACGCGTTACAAATTAATACTGTTATTTGCGTTCCTATTCAATTCCAACAAAGACGCGATTATTTCGTTTGGTCGAACGGAATGCACTTTGCCTCGAAACTTTTAATTACCCGATAACAATTTCCTGTTTCCTTCTTCCTCGATCATATTTTGAGAACTACGATGCTACGTGAGAAAGCAGGCCACATTAGCAAACAATACGAAATCTTAAACAGATTCATAATTCTCTTCCCGTAAACCGAGCCTCGCGTGGACACTACTCTCTCTTAGAAAATAACATATGAAAATACTATTTTCTTTCGTAGTACAAATAGTTTTCTTTTCTCAAGCTCGCGAAGTCCTACCTATACCAACATCTCATTACATTGTCGTCGCGTATCGCTAATTTGCACGGAAAATAATGAACAAGCGGATAACGATGAACATTGGACGATTGCCAGGAGCCACGTAAACGGCGAACCGAAGCGAATAATAGTATGCAATTTTTCGACGAACCCATTAAACTATGCCCGTTACTTATCTGCCGCGAGGCGATGTTTCTGGCGAATATTTAAAAAAAGTAAACCGAGGTCGACGTCGGTCGTGAACGATCCGCCCAAAGAATTCCCGTCGTCTAAAAAGTCCAATAACGAATGGAACCGTGAATCATACGGATAACGGATAAAAATTGAACCGTTCGATCAACGCGTCGGAAGTACGTGTTGCTCGAGCAAAATTTTGTCCACGTTCGTAGACCGATTCGTCGGTCGTTTCGGAACTTGTCTCTGTTCCGGAAAAACCTCCCCAAGCGGGGAGTCGCGATCGGGTTATGAAACGGGTTATGAAAATCCGCGTGGCCGCAACAACGGTAGTCGCAATCAACTAGAGCGTGTTCGATAGTGTTTTCAGCGTGGATGCGATCATTGAAGCCTGACACATCGGTGCTCGATGCGCATCGCGTATCCTGCACGCGTCCAAACGAACTCGAAGCGCGATCGTCCACGCAAATCCACCGCGAAACGTATTTCCGCGCCTCGACGATACCTTCAAGACCTCTAGGTAGCTCGCAGACGCAGGTCAACGACGCTCGCGTGAAATTCGGAAATTCTACGGGGGCCTGGGTACCTTCGAATTATTCGTTCGACCCTTTGATCGGTCACTGTTTCGAAATTGGGTAAAAGTACTGGAGAAAACAACATTTACGATATTGAGGCATTCTAATACAAGGTGGTACAAAGCAGGAAGATTACTTTAGCACATTTTACTGAAATTGTTGCAGGTTTCGTATGTTAACGAGAGGCAAACGCGTAGCCAACCGTGTCGGTGGATTTTTATATTCGACTCTTGATAAAAAATTGTGACGATTGTTCTGAAGGAAAGATCGAGAAACGTTGTGTGTTCCGAGTACCGAAAACGACCATTTGTAGAACCGCGGCGGGAAGGTACGGACGCGAAAACGAGATTGTTCGGTGATCGAACGTCGTTTAAACTTACCTCGAGACTAGTTATGTCGAAAAGAAATATCGAGGCGGTGGCCACCGGCGATCGATAGAACTCGCGAGCAGCCGAGGAGAGTCCCGTTGGTCCTCGGAGAGCCGTGTACACCTGACGCGACGAAGGTTGTGGCGTGACTGCCGTCGAAGGTAGCTCGTCGAACGGTACTTACCTACCTGAGCAGGTAAGCAGAGCCAGCTGCGAGCGTGGACGAACGATAACGCCGTGAAACAGCTCTTCCAGGCTACTCGACGCCTCGTGGATCCTCCGCGTAGTCGAACATTTATTTTCGAGAGGCTGCGGAGAGATCGTTCGTTCCTTCCCGCTGAATGGAAACGCGGATTCGCGCGAACGATGGCCATCCGGCTTTACGCTGAAATACCGTAACCTGTTTTCAACAAGAATTCGCTGAAAAGCCGACGGTGACGGGGGTTTTTGCCACGAATTGCGAATTACGACGACCAGCGGCGCAGAATTTCCAAACGTATTAGCAAATTTTCTGTACTTCGTTCGGGGAATTTGGACCGTTAGACGAATTGGTCGGTGACCAAAAATAGTGAACTAACATCGTACACGGAATATTCGGAGATCATCTCGCGGAAGATGGTCGATAAAAACCGGATTGCTAGGGACGCGCGTAGTATCGGGCACTTTCGGTGGATCTCTTCGGGCAACCGGGCAGTCGTTGACCCCGGGAGGAATTGGGGAACACGCGTCAACAGAAGGCCGGGCGTCCCGTTTTAATTCGAAACGCCAAGGTCGCGCGGCGAGCTATGCAAGACACGACGGAGGATCGTTCAACCGGTTCGAAACTGTGGCCGGTTGCCAGGATTTAAGCGACCGGCGAGCGACATTCGCTGGCATTCGGCCGAATAGCGTTTAGTTAACCCCGTCCCGGAGCTTAAAAAATTCGTACTAATGCTCCGGTCGTGGAGTTTAGCTGCCTCCTCGACGGGAAACACCGTTACGAGATCGGTCTTCTTATTTCGATCCGCGTTTTGCTCGATGAACTTTGATGCTCGGCGCGGAACGATGGAATTTCACGGCGCCGCCGTTGGATCCGGGGCTGCTTTGCAATCGGAGAACCGTTTTTTTTTACCCTGTTGTTTTCGCCGTTCGTTGTCCTGTGATTTCGCCAGTTGTTTTTCCTTAATATTTAACGACGTCTCCGAGGCACGCGTTTGCGAAACACCGGCGTAAGGGCGAGTACAGTTCCTTTTCGATATTCTTTTTGCGCGGGTCGCACGGCTCCCTCGAGAGCAACGTTATTGCATTTTTATTCGCACGAAAACAGTCCACGGCGCACGCGACCCGTCCGCATGAATAAAAGATCAAAGGCACCCCGGAAAATCGTCTGTGCACGTAAGTGGGCGTCGCGAGACTCGTTCGCTCGCATCGCGATAAATCGTGTTTCCCCGAGATAAGTCGGAGCTCGTCCTCGAGAGAGTAAACGTCCAACTCCTGATCCCGCGGAAAATGAACGAGAAAGAGGATCGAGACGGGGAGTTCGCCGGGAGCCTCTTGGTGCAAGAGAGAGTGTTACGATTGATCGGAATATGGCCGTTGAACAGCAACAGTTTCGTCGCGTCGTCCGTCGGTCGATGGATTTTCGCTTTGATGACGCAAGTATGGTCGCAATTGGCCACCTTTTACTCACCGATCGTGAGTAGGAATCGTAGACTTGCACGTTTTCCATCCAGAGACTTCGACGCGTTAAAGTACGCGACACAAATTGGAATAAATAGTTAGATTTAAGAAAATCGGTTGAAAAATTCTCGTGGATTGCTTGGATATGGTTATTTCGATGTAACAACGGTGGAAACTAGTCGTGAGTGAGCGTTTTTTGTTAAAAATACGTAAACTAGAACGCGTACATGACTATGAGAAGTTATTGAATCGAGTCTAGTCGCTGCTGGACGCAAGATGACCGACCGTGGCCATCACGCGCTGGACTCGTAAGGGGTTAGTTGAAGCGATGAGTACAAAGATTTACGATACCCTTTCACCGGAAGTTTCCTTGGTTCCTTTTACACGAATCTTACATTTCTACTTTCTAATCTATCTTTAACCTGTGATTCAAGTTTGCTCCCTTGAACGATCGTTCGAATATGCATAGCTCGAGAGGCCGACGCACGAGCTTAATTTATATCGTTACTCTGCAAAGATCGACGAGATTGCCCAAGAACCCTTTCCGTAATTAGATCAGTACTATCTACAGCCTGTCGCTGGAGGTCTATCGCCACTGTCTCGACATCGACGATACGATGGACGCGTTCGTCATGGTCCTGTCCTCCGTCATCAGCCTCTCGAAGTTGCTTATCTTGCGCTACAACTGGAAGCACACCTATTCTCTGGTGAAATCAATCGCCGAAGACTGGTCCACCGTCAAGGACTCCCGTCATCGACGCGTCATGATGGAGTACTCTCGCAAAGGAAGCCTCGTTGCCACGATGATGCTGTATCTGGGCTTTGCCTCTGGACTCTCCTTCGTCGTCAAAGCTCTCCCGCTCAGCCTTCTTCTACCCTCTCAGGTTAAACGGTGTACAGATCGACGTCACCACGATCAGATACAGTAATGATTCTTAAAATGGACGTTCATCTTTTGTGCAGCAAACATTTATACGAGGAGGATCCGCCAGTTTAGGAGGAATAGACATGTTCAACTTACGAATCTCGTGCTCATTTTAGGAATCATTGCTGTAGACTGTGAATATATAGAGTGACATTAGTATTCGTTGCATCCAGTGGATATTCAGTAACATTTCCTTCGTTCTTGAGTCCTATCAACAGTTTTGATACACCCTATACTTTCCCCATTGATTGCCCTTCGTGACAATTGACTAAATTCTGTTCAGATGCGTAAAAGCCTAGGGAATTCGACGACCAGCTTCCAGCAGTTTTCGAGGGTGGACTATTTCCTGGCGACGTATTGCGTGTTCGGTCCTCTGCCCTGGATGCGTCAGATTTGCGTGCTCGCGATGCAAGCTGCACAGATCTTCGTCAACGTCGTTGCTCATTGTGGCAACGACGGATTCTTCTTCTACTTGACGATGCACCTGTGCGGCCAGTTCGAGGTGCTGAAGATGAATTTCGCTGAAATCGAGACGGACAAGTCCGGGCATCGCGAGAGGATCGGTCTGCTCGTGAAACGACACTGTCGCCTCTTGGTGCTCGCCGACGATCTCGAGCAAAGCTTCAACATGGTTATGCTGATACAGCTGCTGATGAGCACGATGCTCTTGTGCGTGGAAGGTAAATCGACTTTCCAAACTAAACACATTTTCTGCGACATGAAGCACACTGGAATAATTTTCTTCGTTCCTCGAAACGCTCTTTAATGGATATCTGCACAGCGATAGAAATTTTGCACTCAAGCAAATGGCAATGCCCACTTATTATAGAAACTACCGGTCACGTCGATAGCACACGACCTCGTGTTTAATTCTCTATTATATTAATTATATTAATTGTCTCTATTTTTCAACGTTTAAAACGTACCATGAGTTACAGACGCTAAACTCATCGCCCATATTTCAGACATAGAAAACCAGTTAACCGAACCTGTTATATCCGACATAATGCGATCTCATTGCTTCGTAATAGGTGTTCGAAGTATTCATTACACGCGTGTGTCGATATCGATTATAGATTCATCGTATCACCGACTGTCGCACCTGTTCGAACGCTCGCGGCTGATTCTATGCTTCTTCGACTCCAGGCCAAACAGTGGCGGATCTAGGCTTATCAAGGCCTGGGGCTAATTACCAATAACGCTGATTCGTTTTCTTTTAACACGAACGAGTCGAAAATAAAACAAGAAAATATTGCAATCTTACAATCTTTTAAGTCCCAGAAGATGCATCGATATAAGTAATGACACTCGATATTGAGTTTTAAATAAAATTAGAGACAACTCAGGAGGTTATTTTGTCTGTATAACTGTTTGTAACTAGTTTTGTTTTAAATTTACTACCACACCTCGTGTATTGTCTTTGACCAGGGTTCACGATGCTGGTCTGCCTGAACGCGAACGACAATATTGGCGCGTTGAAGTGCATCGTGATCATCGTGACGTTGCTGATGCAGCTGTACATTTACACCTACGCCGGCGACAGTCTCGAATCCCAGACGGAGGAGATCGCGTTTGCCGCCTACGATTTGCCCTGGTATCGTTCTCCAGGACGCGTGGCGAGGGACCTGGTGTTGATCATCGATCGCGGAAACTCGCCGTACAGCATCACTGCCGGAAAATTCGTGTCGATGAACTTGTACACGTTTAAAGAGATATTGAAGGCGTCCACCTCCTACCTGTCCGTTCTGAAGGCGATGATGGACAAATGAAAACGTATCGGCCACGAATCTACGTCAATGGAGTCCGCTACGATCTTGCCACTTCGAAGGTACATTTGCCTCCAGTATCTGGAAAGATACAAAATGATTGTTTGCTCAGGAGAGATTCTGGTATTGTCAAATTTTTATTTAAATCGTGCTTGTGAATAGTAGATTCGAAAAATAAAATTTCGAATGATAAATCTTGGGGTCGTTGGAGCCTTGTGCTCGTGCCAGCAAACGAATTCTTTCCCCCCCAATCACCGATTTACGGTTGCTTTTAACACGACATATGTTCGACAAATGGCATTAATCCCCATTTCATCGTTCCTAACTGCCATAATGGCTCGTTTCGTGTCTTCTTCCAACCACTGGCCATATTTCTTACCTTTGTCACGTAGAAACGAATCCTCTGGCAAAACCGTTACGGTACAATTTAGAAAAGAGTCATAAAAAGCGACGAAAAATATGTAACATATCTCTGTTAATAATACAGAGATTACTTTATGCTTCAGACGAGGGTTCAATCGATTCGAAACAACTGGTAAAGGGTCTCGAAGACAACCAACGTCGAGTATCGTCAACACCAGCATCATTTTCATTCACTTGCCTTATTCTTTGTCTCCGTCTCTTCTCACTCCGCATTAAACCAATATCCTGTATACATTTTTATCTTGTGATAAATAAAATATGAAGTGTCGCTACAAAATGGCCGTCGGGCCAAAACGAGTTTCGCACTCACCATACGAAAGTTTTAAAATTCAAGACAGGATCCACGAATTTAAGCTCTATCAGGACTTTAGAACGGAACGAAGCTTCCTTTTTTGCGGTTTCCGGCCCCCTCCCTACTCCCATTTCCACGGTTTGCGCCTATCCAGGTGCCATAAAACCCTCAACGACGCTGCAGAGGACGCCGGAACGACCACATCCGGAGGTAACGTACGCCTACCACTATTTTCTTTGCAATTTATGTCTCGTTCGCTCAGCCAATGTTTCTTCTCTTAATTCCTGCGTGAATTAATCCCATGTATACAAGCAACATGGACAGGATTACTGTCATCCAGCGACACGGAGTAACGACGTAACTCCTTCCGGAAACTCGCATCGGTCTTGCGACTCGTGTCGCCGCGAGGGGAACGTCTCGCGATCCTTCAAAGTGTACAAACTGGTTCGAGTGGTTATCTTACAGCGGTCGAATGAATAATGGAAAAATTTCCGATTCCAGTTGTTAGTTTTACAAGCAATCGATCGCAATTTAGACATTTCAGAACACGGTGTTCCATCCTTCCAAGAAAGGGAGCGATCCCTTCGAAATGAAGCGCCACTTACGTCGGATAGGACGCAGCTCAGCAGGCAAGAAAACAGCCTTAAACTTTATTCTTAACCCATCCATTTCCCATTAAAATTGAATGTTCTTCGAAAACGGTCTTCCGCACTTTTCTTCTCGAGCTCGAAATGCAGTTCTGCAGACCGTGTTCACGTAGGAAGCTCGTTCCTCCTTGGGCGAAAAGAAGACGCCCTGAGGAGAAGCTCGCCGGATCGAACAAGAAGAAGATATCGATATCCGGTTACCCTCTCTCTTGGAATTTTTTCCGATAACGCGCACCTGACATAAGAACTGTTCGTCGCGACAGGCAGTTAAGCGATTACGGTTGAATAAAACATAAACCGAAAAACACCGCTACATAGTTGCTGGCCGAGCGAAGGAAAAAGGACATGCGTCGCGTACGCTTGGGAATAGTTTTCTACGATCTCTTCGTGACGTCCCGAAAAAAATGAACGCGTCCTCGAGCAAGGACTTTGCTTACGCGATGATCCCGTTGAAGATCCTCGCGTGGCCCGTGGGCACCTGGCCCCTCGAGAAATTCAACGTTTCCTCGATCCTGCGATTCAGCGTCGCTATCAGTCTTCTGGTATGGCACTTTTGAATTACTATTGCGGTACTTGGCCCTTCCAGTGTCGAGGATTTTAAGCTGACGCTCTTTGGAGCTTCCGAACGTCGTGGCCAAACTAACCCTTTCGCTCAAAATATCACGACATTTAAATTCGGAAGTCGAAAGCAGCGTCATCGGGATACCAATTCTGACTGAAACACGTTTCTGTCTATGCAGGTGTTAATGATGGCCATTGTACAGACGGAGATATATTTGGATCACAGCGACCCCGAAAAGAACCTGGACACCCTGGTGCTGACCACCTGCGCCATATTAGCGATATCGAAGGTGGCGTTGTTCCGTCTTCGCGCCACTGGCCTGATGTCCATCTTCACCGCGGCGGTGAAGGACTACGACGAGCTATCTGGAGTAGAGAAACGGGCGATCGTGAGACAACACGCCTTCATGGGACGAGTGGCGTGCGCCAGCGTCATATGCTTTTCGTATCTAGGCTCCACGTTGTTCCTGACGCTTCCGATGCTGGCAGAGGACGAAGACGTCCCGATAAAACACACCAACGATACCCAAGACGAGCCCCTGGACTATCCTATTCCTTCGGAATACACGATGCTCAGTTTAAACGTATCTGAAAATTTGTACCCGGTCATCTACCTCTTGGAATACGCGATGATGCTGATCACCAGCACCGGAAACCTTGGTAATTATTTCCCAAAGCGTCCATAAGCGACGTTCAAAAATGTCCACGAGTTATCCCCGTTTTAGACATTTTAGTGTTAATTAATTGTAAATTACTGGAGCAACGCGTTGGGCAGGTAGCGACGGACTGATATTCGGCATCACTTTTCACCTGTGTGGTCAAGCAGAGGTCCTGAAGCTGGACTTTGGCAGATTTGCCAGCGAGAGCGAGGCCGCGAAGAACCGTTTCGACGCGTTGACCAGCAGGCATTGTCACATCTTGAACTTGATCGAACAGCTGAACCACACGCTCAGCTCCATCTTGGTGATACAGCTGTTCACGAGCTGCGTGCTTATCTGCACGTCCGGTAAACGTTCATAAGGCGTTATTTACATTAAAAATGTCCTCGAATCGTATCCAGCGCGAGTGGTTGAATCTGCAAAAGGAGCGAATAAAATACTTAGGAGTACAATCGGCGACTTTCTCTCGCTGAAAAGCAGAAGGTTAATGCTGTCGTTCTTTTCAGGGGTTCAGTTTATTTTGTCTCTAAGCACCCACAACGTAGTGATGGTGATAAAAACGTTCATAGTGGTGACCACGTTGTTGACGCAGTTGTTCGCCTACAGTTACGTGGGCGAGTACTTGAAGAATCAAATGGAAGACATCGGGTACTCGATTTATTGCAGCTGTTGGTACGACATTCCACCCAGCTTATCGAAGGATATCGTTTTCGTTCTGCTGAGAACCCAGGTTCCGGTGCACCTGAAGGCTGGGAAGTTCTTCGTGGTCAATATGGAGACTTACATGAGCATCGTGAAAACCTCGATGTCGTATCTATCGGTGTTGAGAGTCATGATAACCTCTTGATACACCGTTTGCATTGTGAAAGCACATTTTGAAACAGTCACCCCGATAGGTACACAAAGATTTTGTAAAGCAAATAAAGAAGTATGATTAATCGAAATTGAGCGAAGTTCGCTAAATGTTAGAGGAAAACGATTGAAACTTGTTTTCTCTAGTCTCGGTTGATTCCTTGATCTTTCACTGAGTGAAACTGATCGTAATTTTATTGAAACGAAGATGCAATTATTGGACCATCCATTTGTCATTTACTCATTTTCTCAAACTTCAATTTTTATTATAATTTTACTTGCTTACCCAGTTTCGTTCCATGAGTATTCATTCAATATTCTGCACACTTTATATTGCAATCATCCACATATTTCCCTCTACGAGACGCGTCGTATCAAGGATAACGTCATGATCCTTCGAACGACTGTAGAAAAATGGATCGAGTCGTTATCTTACGGTAGTAGCGAATGAATAAAGAAAACACTTCCGGAGTCCAGCTGATAGTTTCGTAAGCAATCGATCGCAATTTAGATATTTCGCGGTACCTTTTCTTCCTCGGAAAATACCACGTACGTTGACAGAGTACACACTCGCGACGAGAAAATAGACATGAGCCTCGCTCTTAAGCCCTCGAACGTTCCTCGAAGACATTCCGGCTCGTCTTCTCCGATGGAAGTTCTTCCGGTTCCGGTAGAAAAACTTTCCCGGTGGAACGAAAAATTGTTTTCGCGAAGAACAGGAAAACTTAGCAACCCGGACGAGGAGAAAATGTCCACGATTGAACCGCCAACCCTTCCAGGAATTTTTCTTGTAACGCGCAGCTGACGTAATGGCGGTGGGCAGTTCGTCGACAGGCGGTAAAGCGATTACGGTTGAATAAAATATAAACCGAAAAACACACTACATTGTTCGTATCGAAGTGAACGTGCGTCGATTGCGTGGGTCAGGTTTCCTCCGATCCGTTCGTGCATCCCTCGAAGATGACGTCGCCGGAGAAGGACTTCGCTTACGCGATGAATCCATTGAAGATCTTCGCGTGGCCCGTGGGCACTTGGCCTCTTCAGGAGCACAGCTTATTCTCGACCTCAAGGACCATTCTCTCTATCGCCATCTTAGTATGAATTTAACGATTCGAAAGGTGTTTACACCATTGCATTTGGGTGCAAATTGTTAATTGTCTTTTAAAAACCTTTGGTAGAGATAGTAATCGTTGCATTTCCTACTCTTAGTAGTGAATTTAATTCCAAGCCATAATTCTCTGGTCTTTGTATTTCCTACTTTTAGTGGTGAATTAAAAATTTCAGTTTACCAAGTTTGAAAACAAAGGGTAAAAAATTGTAAAACATCCTGTGTTTAGGTGACAATGCTGACGATCATGAACGTCGAGATATGGTTGGACCTGAACGACGCAGAGAAGAATCTGGAAGCTGTGATGCTGATCGGTTGTGGCTTTTTGGCGGTGTCGAAAGTGATATGGTTCCGTTTCAACCCCTACGGTTTGGTCACCAATTTCTCTTCGGCGTCGAAGGACTACAAGGAGCTCTCCGGAGTCGAGAAACGAGCGATCATGCGACATCACGCTTATATGAGCCGAGTAACGTGCCTGGGCGTGCTGGGTTTCTCGTTTGCAGCTATGACGTTCATGTCGATCGCGTCGGTGTTAGACGAAGACGATACCACGATGGACCAAGGGAACAAATTTGGTATTAAAAAGTTTTCACTACATTTTCTACTCGTAAGTTTCAATATTTCGGTAGTGTATAATTTTGAACAATTTTTGGGAGCAAAGTATCCGCCATTTAATTCGAAATAATGCATTACCATTTCTAAAAATTATTTCGTGGTATCCAGAAAGTTTGTAACGTTTTATTGCCAATTTCCCCCTCTCCCTCACTGTGAAGAGGACAATACTACTCAGAAGGAACCGATAAAATATCCGTTTCCCTCCGAACTGACTATGAAGACTCTGAACATACCGGAGGATTTCTATCCCTTGATTCTTTTCGCGGAGAATATTATGCTGATACTCACGGCCACTGGAAATCTCGGTAACGATTCACCTTGCGTAGCCATTTTCCATCATGCGCGGACAATCGATCAATTTCCTTTTTCGTAGGCAGCGACAATGTGTTCTTCGGTATCGCTTTTCACCTGTGTGGCCAAGCAGAGATACTGAAAATGGAGTACAGCAGATTCATCGACGAAAGCGAGAACATAATACACCGTTTTCACGTGTTAATCTCGAGACACTACCAACTCTTGAAATTGTTCAAGGAACTAAACGACACAATCAGCACCATCTTGGTCATACAACTGCTCACGAGTTACTTACTTATTTGCCTTACAGGTAAAAAGAAACTCATTTCTACGTTGTCTTCGCTCGCAAGGAGGGTATTCAAACTCTTTTTAAACGTTTAATTTCTGGATTTCTATGTATACTCAATATCTGGTAACTGAAAATATGGATTATTTGTCAAAAGGGGTAAAATCGAGTTATTGATGGTTCGTACTCGTTTCAGGATTTCAATTTATACTCTCTCTGAGCGTTCGAAACATGGTGATGATGATGAAAACGTTCATTGAAATGTTCATAGTGATGTCGCAATTATTCGCGTACAGTTACGTGGGGGAGTACTTGAAGAATCAAATGAAAGACATCGGATACGCGGCTTATCGCAGCAGCTGGTACAACATACCGAGCTATTTATCGAGGAACATCGTTTTCATCCTGAGAAGGGCTCAGGACCCGGTACAGCTAAGGGCCCAACATTTCTTCGTCGTCAATATGGAGACTTACATGAATATCGTGAAAACCTCGATGTCGTATCTTTCGGTCCTGCGTGTTATGATTACCACTTAAGAGAATTTTACTTAATACACTCGTAAATCTGTTGTTGACGATGCATGTGTCGAAACGAAATTTTGTAACTGATTTATTTAACACAATGGAATGGTATAAAACAAATAAAACATGGTTCCACCGCGACGGTCGGAACAAGAAGGCAGAAGGTCTGTTGTACAAAAAGACGAGCAGATGGCAAATAGAGACCAAATAAAAAGAACCGATTAATTTGTACTAGTAATATCACAGATATCGCGATTAGCATTATAAATCATATTTTTACCTTGGAAAAAAAAATAACGTACAAACCTGTTTCTGTACTAAACAGTAAGACTTCCACTTAGTCTTCTCTCGTTTCTTTTTCAATTTGACAGATTGCAATCATATACATTATACACGGTTCACCATCGATTCACTCACGTAATCTTCTTCTGTTTTTGGTAAGTGTATACTATCATCCAATGACAACATAGATTCTTCCGGTGGAGTTTACATCGGTTTCACGAATCGTGTCACTGCACAGTGAACATCACGATCCTTCGAAGGAGTATACGAAACTGTTTCGAGGTCGTTATCTTACGGCAGCGAATGAATAAAAGAACAACTTGCGAGTTCGGTGGTCAGTTTCAGTTACGATCAATCGCAATTTAGACATTTCTTCGTACTTCTGCTTGCTAAGAAAAGAAACCATGTTTTCGAAAGAAAAGCACCACTTACGTCGAACACGTGTATTTCCCATAAAAATTGAACTCGAAGATACTTTTTCTTAGAACACGTTTCGTCGACGAGAACAAGATGTCCGCTATCGGGCATCCTCCCGGGAATTTTCTCGATAACGCGCAGCTGATGTAACAATAGGCAGTTAAGCGATTACGGCTGAATAAAACATAAACCGATACACACGGCACATTGTTGCGAATAAAGAAAGAACGCGCATGTCGATTACATGGGAATGGTTTTCTCCGATCTCTTCGAGCGTCCCTCGAAGATGAAGAAGAATAAAGACTTTGAATACGCGATGGTTCCGTTGAGAATTCTGTCGTGGCCAGTGGGCACTTGGCCGCTTCAAAAGTACAACTTATACTCGGCTTTCCGGAGCATCGCCAGCATTATATTCTTGGTATGGAATCTAGTTAATCATTCTGTCATTTCGTGATGTGTTCATCTATCCTCTGGTCCCAAATAAAAAAAGTTAGACAGAGATTGCAATTTAAATTATACGCTAGAAGCATATCTTCGCACATATAGAGAATTATGCATTGTAATAATATTCCAGCTATGTATTTATTTTCTCTAGATATTTATGAAAGCGTGGAAAGACGAGTGACAGACTGTTTCTTCGAAATGTATTATCCATATCGAACGAAAGCGAATGAAATTCAAGAACGCGAGTAATTATGTATTTATGTTAGTTTTCTGAATCGAAGATGTCACCTTCTCAGGAAGAAATACGTAATGATCGACGAAAAGAAGCTCTTTCAGTAGTAGAAACGATTTTCAAATTATATTTTAATATATTTACAGGCGATAATGGTGATGATCGTGCAAATGGAGGTGTATTTGGACGTGACGGACGCCGAGAAGAACCTGGACGCCCTGGTGCTGATCGGTTGTGGGATCCTGGCGGTGTCGAAGGTGGCCAAGTTTCGGTTCTCTTCGGAGGGTTTGGTCACCAATTTTTCTGCAGCGTTGAAGGACTACGACGACCTAGGCGACGTTGAGAAACGAGCGATCGTGCGACATCACGCTTACATGGGCCGTGTGGCGTGCATGGGTGTGGTGTTTTTCTCGTGCATGAGCTCGTCTCTTTTCACGATCGTGTCGATAGTAGCTGGAATGGAGGATACCGCGATCGAAGACGACAACGGCACGCAAGGGGAAGCAACAGACTATCCGATACCCTCCGAATTGACTTTCGAGAGTCTACGAGTGCCTGAGAATTACTATCTGATGATCTTCTTCGTGGAGTACTCGATGCTGGTGGTCACGGCCATTGGAAATCTGGGTAAACTCTTTATTAAAATACGTATTTATAGTGTAGATATGGATGTGCATGAATGTTTATTGATTGGTATTGCTGGGGAATGTTTCGCGTGAAGTGTTTTGGAAATATTGAGCTGTGAAAGAAGAGTATTTGGGACAGTCATTACACTTGAGATTATTTTGTGAACGGAGATCCCATGGCCACTCAGGGCTGGAAACGAATGTGATTGAATGCATTTCTCCAATGGCTGATGACTGTGTCTAGGGTGAACGAAATAAAGTGAAATAAAATGAATTCGAACAAGCAGATAAGCTTCAGAAAAAGCGCGCAGCAAAGCAATTACAGCGAGTTTAGTGAATTGTGGGAGTATTCGTGGGTTTTGTGAGAGAATCTTGAGAGTTCCTCTGGATTAAATTTAAGTTCTTGTTTTAAAAAAGCCTCCAATCCATTCATTCGTACCTCGATTCCCATCTACGAGGAATTTTCTTCAAATAATTCCTACAATAGTGTTTGTATACGAGTTTTACGCTTCTCTTCTTTGGTAGGTAGCGACGGATTGTTCTTTGGTATCACTTTTCATTTATGCGGTCAGGCGGAGGTGTTGAAGTTCGAGTTCAGGAAACTCGTGGAAAACGGAAACACCGCAAACAGTTTCAGCGTGCTAGCAAAAAGGCACAGACACTTGTTGAAAATGGCTGAAAAGCTCAACGACATAATCCGCGCCATTCTGAGCATACAACTGTTCACGAGTTGCTTGCTTATTTGCACCACTGGTGAAAGTTTAACCATTTTATCTTGGAAACCTACCGTATGTAAATCCGTTCAGACGCGTTCGATTGATGTACGATTTATTACTCGTTTCAGGATTTCAATTTATACTGTCTCTGAACGTCCGCAACATGGTGATGGTGATGAAAACGTTCATAGTAATGGGCACAGTGTTGATGCAGTTGTTCGCGTACAGTTACGTGGGGGAGTACTTGAAGAATCAAATGGAAGAAATCGGATACGCGGCTTATTGCAGCAGCTGGTACAACATACCGAGCTATGTGTCGAGGGACATCGTTTTCGTGTTGAGGAGAACTCAAGACCCTGTGTGCCTGAAGACCCAACAATTCTTTATCGTCAATATGCAGACTTATATGAGTATCGTGAAAACCTCGATGTCGTATCTTTCGGTCCTACGCGTTATGATCACCACTTAAGACAATTTTACTTCTCTTACTGTTGAGGACGGGAAAAGGAAATTATAATAGTTTGTACTTTCAACTTTGCATAAAAAAAATACCGTAAAAACCTGCTTCTCTATTCAATAGTCTAGACTTACAGTTAGTCCTCTCTCGTTTATTTTTAAATTCGACAGATTGCAATCACATTTTAATGTAATAATTTATATTCTATTTAACTCACGTAATCTTCTGTTTTCGGTGAATGTTGATCCAATATTATACATCACTATCATCCAATGACAACATTCTTCCGGTGGAGTTTACGTCAGTTTCACGAATCGTGTCACTGCACAGTGAACATCACGATCCTTCGAAGGAGTATACAAAACTGTCTCGAGTCGTTATCTTACGGCAGCGAATGAATAAAAGAACAACTTGCGAGTTCGGTGATCAGTTTCAGTTACGATCAATCGCAATTTAGACATTTCTTCGTACTTCTGCTTGCTAAGAAAAGAAACCATGTTTTCGAAAGAAAAGCACCACTTATGTCGACAGGACGCTTCCGCGACGGGAACGCGTGTATTTCTCATAAAAATTGAACTCGAAGGTACTTTTTCTTAGGACACGTGTCGTCGACGAGAACAAGATGTCCGCTATCGAGCATCCTCCCGAGAATTTTCTCGATAACGCGCAGCTGATGTAACAATAGGCTGTTAAGCGATTACGGCTGAATAAAACATAAACCGAAACACACGGTACATTGTTGCGAATAAAGAATGAACGCGCATGTCGATTACCTGGGAATGGTTTCCTCCGATCTCTTCGAGCATCCCTCGAAGATGAAGAAGAATAAAGACTTCGAATACGCGATGGTTCCGTTGAGAATTCTTTCGTGGCCATTGGGCACCTGGCCGCTTCAGAAGTACAACATATATTCGGCTTTTAGAACCATCGCCAGCATTATATTCTTGGTATGGAATCTTTCGTTTTTAATCCTTCTATCGTTTTGTAATCCATTATACAGAATATCCCAAATTTTTACAATCTTCATCTATTCTTTGCATCCTTATACTTTCCAAATTATGTGCTCATTAGTTTCTTAAATGTATCGTCTATATTGAACGAAAGCGAATGAAATTCAAGAACGCCTCTTTATGTTAGTTTTCCGAATCAAAGATGTTACCTCCTCAGGAGGATGTGTGTAACTATCGATTAAGAGAAGCTCATTTCATTCGCTTTCAAATTTTCCCCTGCTGGTTCCTAAACCAGCGATTTCCAAATTCTATTTTTATATATTTATAGATGATAATGTTAACGATTGTACACATGGAAGTGTATTTGGACTTGACGGACGCCGAGAAGAACCTGGACGCCTTAGTGCTGATCGGTTGTGGGATCCTGGCGGTGTCGAAGGTGCTCAAGTTCCGGTTCTGTCCGGAAGCGTTGATCAGCAACTTTTGTTCGGCGATGAAGGACTACGAGGATCTAGGCGGAGTTGAGAAACGAGCGATCGTGCGACATCACGCTTACTTGGGCCGTATGGCGTGCATGGGTGTCGTGTGTTTCTCGTGCATGACTTCGTCTCTTTTCACGATCGTGTCGATATTAGCTGGAATGGAGGATACCGCGATCGAAGACGTTAACATTACGCAAAAGGAATCAATAGACTATCCGATCCCCTCCGAATTGACTTTGGAGATTCTACGAGTGCCTGAGAATTATTATCTGGTGATTTTCGTCGTGGAGTACGCGATGCTGCTGGTCACGGGGGCTGGAAATCTCGGTAAACTATTAAAATACGTGTGTATAGTGTTCCTACACGAGTTTTACGCTTCTCTTCTTTGGTAGGCAGCGATGGATTGTTCTTTGGTATCACTTTTCATTTATGCGGTCAGGCGGAGGTGTTGAAGTTCGAGTTCAGGAAATTCGTCGACGAAAATGAGAATACCGCGAACCGTTTTAGCGTGCTAGCAAAGAGGCACAAACATTTATTGACAATGGCTGAAAAGCTCAACGACATAATCTGCACCATTTTAAGCATACAACTGTTCACGAGTTGCTTGCTTATTTGCACCACTGGTGAAAGTTCAATCATTGTTTCTCGGAAACGCATCGTATGTAAATGCGTTCAGACGCGTTCGATTGATGTACGATTTATTACTCGTTTCAGGATTTCAATTTATACTGTCTCTGAACGTCCGCAACATGGTGATGGTGATGAAAACGTTCATAGTAATGGGTGCAGTGTTGATGCAATTGTTCGCGTACAGTTACGTGGGGGAGTACTTGAAGAATCAAATGGAAGAAATTGGATACGCGGCTTATTGCAGCAGCTGGTACAACATACCGAGCTATGTGTCGAGGGACATCGTTTTCGTGTTGAGGAGAACTCATGACCCTGTGTGCCTGAGGGCCCAACAATTCTTCATCATCAGTATGCAGACTTACATGAGTATCGTGAGAACCTCGATGTCGTATCTTTCGGTTCTACGACTTATGATTACGACTTAAAACACACTTTTATAAGGTACGTATAAATTAGCGCTGTAATTTGCTGAGACTTAACATATCACTTTTCTTTCTTTCAAATAGAGACGTAGTTTCTGTCACGGGAAGTTCTAAAATGTCTCAAATAGTTCAAATTTATATACTATGTTAACGCGAATACATTTTACGAGTGTTAAATACGGTCATCTCTTATAAATAAGATATTCGTGCTTGTCACTCTGATAATTTGTCAATATTAATATAGTATTTAAATAAAGATATATACATTAAAACGTAAATTCCCAGATTCATATAATTTTGAACGGTCAAAGTCGATTGGGGCCCATTCGATGGGTCATGTATCGAAGTTGCGCGGTAAATCGTCGCACTAAACAGTTTGGTGCATTAGATGCATATCGCTAGATGCAACCCGTATTTGTACTGATTCGATTTAGCTATTTAAATAAAATACCAGATAAAATTAACAATTGAATAACGAGAGCGCCTGCAATATGCCTCGTGGGAGTCGAGAGAGGAAGGCTCACATTTGCCTTCTCGCTCTTGGACAACTGAAAATCGACCTCAGTATATTTCTGACAACGTATAACGATTACTATTGACTTCTGCCAACCTTCGTTGGCCTCTACTGACCGATGCTGACCTTTCCTGGCATTTCTGACAACGTATAACGATTACGACTGGCTACTGCTAGCCTCTCCTAGCCTCTGCTGGCCTCTGCTGACCACCGCTTATATTTCTGACAACGTATAACGATTACTACTGACTTCTGTCAACCTTCGCTGGACTCTACTGACCGATGCTGACCTTTCCTGGCATTTCTGACAACGTATAACGATTACGACTGGCTACTGCTTGCCACTGCTGGTCTCTGCTGTCCACGGCTAGCCTCCGCTGGCCTCTGCTGACCACCCCTGATGCTTCTGACAACGTATAACTATTACTACTTGTTACTGCTGGTCTCTGCATGCCTCTGCATCCCTCTGCTGGCCTCTGTTGGCCCCTGCCGACCACTGCTGACCACTGCTGACCTTTGTTATCAACTTCCGACGTGATGTATAAGTATTCAAGCCTTGTATAATGTAAATCTATGGCAATAAATGATATAATTTAACAGAATTCTATGTGTTCTCATCATTTTTACCTTTCTTTTCCTCTCCAAATCATTGCCTTAGTTTTAAGAGACCGTTTTTCCGGTTAAAATTGGATTCCCAAAGTGTCCAGCTCTCGTACTTGCTGCCAAAATCAAAAATTAACTTTTAAATCTTTTTTCTGTAACCGTCACTCTCGTACCTGTTGGCAAAATCGAGAATTCATTTTTTTCGTCAAAAAATTTTTGCTCGAAAATTTCGCCGATTTCCCCAAAAAGTCCTGAAACAACTGGAAAGTCCTGAAACAGCTGGAAAGTCCTGAAACAACTTGGGAAGTCCTGAAACGACTTGGAAAGCCCTGAAACAGTTGGAAAGCCCTGGAATTTCTTGAAACCCCTGAATTTTTAGCAAAGTTCTGAGTTTCAGGACTTTCCAGATGTTTCAGGACTTTCCAGCTGTTTCAGGACTTTCCAGTTCTTTCAGGACTTTCCAGCTGGTTCGGGACTTCCAAAGGGGTTCAGGGAAACCAAGGAGTTTCAGGGAGTCTTATAACTAAGGTAATGATTTGGAGAGGAAAAGAAAGGTAAATAATGATGCGAACACATAGAATTCTTTGTAATTATATCATTTATTGTCATAGATTTACATTATACAATGTTTTAATACATATATATCATGGCAGAAGTTGTTAACAAGGGTCAGCAGTGGTCAGCAGGGGTCAGCAGGGGACAGCAGGGGACAGGAGAGGCTTGCAGAGGCAAGCAGAGACCAGCAGGGGCAAGCAGTAACATGTAGTAATCGTCACACGTTGTCGGAAGCATCGATGGTGGTCAGCAGTGGTCAGCAGAGGCCAGCGGAGGCCAGCGGATGCCAGCAGTGGCAAGGAGTGGCAAGCAGAGACCAGCAGGGGCAAGTAGTGGCAAGTTGTAATCGTTATACGTCGTTAGAAATATAAGCGGAGGTCATGAGAGGCCAACAGAGGCTGGGAGAGGCTGGCACTGACCAGTAGTAATCGTTATATGTTGTCGGAAGTATCAGGTGTGGTCAGCAGTGGTCAGCAGGGGCCAACAGAGGCAGGCAGAAGCCCGCACATGTTGGCAGAAGTTAGCAGAGGCCAGCAGAAGCCAGCAGTAATGGTTATTCGTTGCCAGATGTATCAGAAGTGATATCTGAAATGATATACATATGTCCGCTCATATATAGGAATAATAAATACGAATTTATTTATTTTCAATAATTCAAATATGATCAGGGGGTCTTAAAACGTGTATTTCCGTAAGAAAAATTGGCATAGTGTGAGTAGTGCACCCGGTGCTCAATCTGGCAGCACTGGTCTCTAGGAGTTCTGTTGTCACGTGCAATGCAATCGCGAGACAAACATGTCTGCACGTACTTATCAATCCGTGAATTAAAGAGAGCCGGCATGTATCGTGAAACGCAGAAAATACGATTACACCTTCGTCGAAATGTGCTTGAAACAATTAAGATCGCAATATTCGTGTAGTTTTACACGAGAACTCGTCACGAAATCTATTTACGAACGGTTGTCTGCGAATCGAACGTACGTACATAACCTGAAAACGACGTTTAAATGTCTTTAATAAGAGAAAAGTTTTTATTTCGAAAGAATCCTTTAAAATGGCTTCACGATTGAGCAACAAAGCGAAACTAAAGTCGCTGTTGACAGTAACGAGCACTGCTGCGACGATGTTTGGTGGTATTTGCATTTACCAGGGTAACGAAAAGTTTTACAACAATGTCGCTGTGCCTCTGGTGCAACTGTTGGATCCCGAGATCGCGCACACAGCAGCTGTGAAAATTTTAAAATGGGGGCTTCTTGCCAGGCAAAACACAGAGGATCCTGCTTCTCTTGCTATCAATGTCTGGGATCTACAGTTTAAAAACCCGATAGGGATGGCTGCCGGGTTCGACAAGCAAGGAGAAGCTGTAGAGGGTTTGCACAATATAGGTTTTAGCTTTGTAGAAATAGGTAACTATATCTGGATGACTCTCAACCAACGAACATCGTAATCTTTTCTATACTTAATTGCATTTATAGGATCTGTTACACCAAAGCCTCAACCCGGCAACCCTAAACCTAGGTTATTTAGATTACCAGAGGACAAAGCAGTTGTTAATAGATACGGGTTTAATAGCGAAGGGCACGATTCTGTGTGGCACCGCCTAAGAAAGCTCAAAGACAATTCCAAGTTCCGTGGTATCGTTGGGGTGAACTTGGGTAAGAACAAAACGTCCGATGACGCGATCCAAGATTACATAGATGGTATAAGGAAGTTCTCGGACGTGGCGGATTACTTTGTAATTAACGTATCGAGTCCAAACACGCCCGGTTTAAGATCTCTGCAGAGCAAGAACGATCTAGAAAAGCTATTGACGAAAGTAAACGAGACGAGGCAATCTATACGGAGCAAGCAGCCGTTGCTGCTCAAACTTGCCCCGGATTTATCGGACTCGGAGAAGCAAGATATCGCGGACGTGGTACTACGGAAGAAATCCACAGTCGACGGTTTGATACTGTGCAACACTACGGTCACACGAAACAATTTAACGAGTTCTCTTAAAGAGGAGAGCGGAGGTCTCAGCGGAGCTCCGCTTTCTAACATGTCCACGGTAATGATTTCGGATATGTACAAACGTACGCGTGGTACGATTCCAATAATCGGCGTTGGTGGAATATTCACCGGAGCAGACGCTTACGATAAAATCAAAGCCGGTGCTTCTCTGGTGCAACTTTACACGTCGTTTGCGTACCAAGGACCGCCGATCGTAGGGAAAATTAAACGCGAATTGAACGACATGCTCAAACGGGACGGCCTAGCATCCATCAAAGATGCGATCGGAAAAGATGCCAATGTTAGATAATTAAAATTTATACGCCTACGGACAAACCTATTTAAAGATTGTTAATTTATTATTGTTTGTTTTTAAAGTTATAAGATTGTTATGTATTCGGTAATAAAAGAATTTTTACAACCCTCTTGAATGTTTAGTAGCTTACGCAACTTTATGTAACATTTATTCGAGTAACTGTGTTATACAAATATATCCATTTTAATTCGCGTTTCCTTTTTGTACATACGTCCGTGATGCTTATTATTAGTACAACTATCCGTGAATACAGTAGAATATATTTATGGTACCTGCTTCCGCCGGTACAGCGTTATAATTAATATAATTCTCCCTCGATTAGGTCATATATTAAATAATACATAAGCTAGGATTAATACTCGCTGGTAATGTCTTATTCGCTCGGCATCCCTATGATCAACGCTAGATTTACGGATATTGATTGCACATATTTCGGTTACATTAAAACAGGGATTTCCTTCTAATTAGGATATATATTTGAATCATTGCATCGATAAAATCCAACATAAATCCCATAAATCTAGCGTTGAATAACATTGAGATGTTCAAAGTAAATAATCGTAACAATTTTCGTTTGTCTTCCACGGTGATCGAGACGTAAAATTATTTCGTGGATCGTAAAGATTAAAAATCGATCACCGTCGAGACAAACAATGGTTAGAGACGTTAAAAAGAAGCTAAAACAACTACGATTAATCCTCTATCGAGGATTGTTCTACTTGCGGTTACTCCTTGAGAAACCAATTTTTGGTACCGTCGCTCCCCTCCCTCGACTCCGCTACGCAATTACAATTAACATAAATAAATCGATATTTCACGCGGGTCTAAGTTAATAACATCTACGCAAGAGCACGTTTGCCCGTAAGCTGAAAGCAAAAGAAGATCGACGAACGATGGATCATCGTCGGTCCGTATACGAATTACATTTTCAGGTACACGAGTACGATAACGTTGGAGTGGTTGCAACGTTAGGCATCAATGTAAACCAAGGTTTCCCCCCAGCCCCTGCTCCTTCCTCCACTGAGCCAATCGGATGCGGTACCAGGCCTGCAGAACAAGAATTAGTCAAAAAGAGAAGAAATAATTGAGATTTCACTTAAACGGGTCAACGCTTCCATATGCAAATCACGTCCAAGCGTGGCTCACATTTGGAAATCAAATTGTTTAAGTATCTAAAATTGTGCTGGTATTTCTAAGTCTCAACACTGTTCAAAAGTATATATGTTTTTTTTAAGGCGAGGGAAAAGGGGATACAAACCTCGACGTCAGCTTCGGAGAGTCCTGTTTCCGCCGCTAATAGAACCACATCCGCCGCGTGAGGTGCTCTGGGCCATCTGTTGAACTGTTCTTGAAGAACGGCCTCCTGATCTTCCGTCAATCGAATCACCCGAATGTCCGATCCTCCCCTACTCGGGTATTGCGGAGAAGGTGATCGCATCATTTTCTCTGCAAACAGTACAACGGGCTCAATAGTGGTCCAAGGGTGTTCGTTCAGCTAACGCAATGTGTCCAGGCAGGACTATCCACTATGAATTGCACCCACCCGATTGGACCTTTACAAAGGAAAATGGTAGGTTCTTATGAAGAGAAAAGAAGTAATTTTCCAGTATGGTAATGCTTGGTCTCATACAGCAAGAGATACACTGCAAAAGCTGAGTCTAAAAATGGCAACTTGCAGGTTCAGGACTGAGGGAATTTTATAAATTAAGTATCATATATTTGAAGTTACTTTGGGAGATACAAAGTAATGAATATATTTTAGATAAAGATCAAACTATTACTTTTTTCTTTAAAATCTCTAAAGACAAAGGAAAATGACAGGTTCTTGTGAAGAGAAAAGAAGTAATTTTCCATTATGGTAATGCTTGGTCTCATAGAACAAGAGATACACTGCAAAAGCTGAGGCTAAAAATGGCATCTTGCAGGTTCAGGACTGAGGGAATTTTATAAATTAAGTATCATATATTTGAAGTTACTTTGGGAGGTACAAAGTAATGGTGAATATATTTTAGATAAAAATCGAACTGTTACTCTATTCTTTAACACCTCTAAAGCTTATGGAGTGACTCTCGTGAGAAATTCTATAAAAGGCACCTTCCTTTTTCAGTGGCGAACGAGAAGAACGTGCCCAGAGACTTACAAAGGCTCACTTATATTAATTTAAAATTTAAATAGACGCTTGTTTATGGGGTGACTTCGTAACATTTTGTCATTGTTTCTAGTCCACGGTGCCCGTTTGGAACGAAAGAGTGACCGTCGTGGCGCGGTCTGTTTAGAGCCAGTGCCGACGAAGGGAAAAATCGCGGCAATTATCGCGACAAAAGACACGTGAATCACCGCTACGTGTCGCAAATATGGGTCTCGAATATTCCCTTTTACGGGGGAGAAGAGCGTGCCGGTACGCCGTAAAGGCGCGAAGAACCGGTCGCCCGGTAAATTGACATTCATTACATAAGTACGTCTCGCATTATCACTTTCTGGCGAGTTATATTACGGAGGCGTGGCGAGCGTAATAGTTGTATAATAACGCCGGTATTACGTAAATATGTGCGATTCTATTTTGCATCCGCGGTATTAACGAGCGTGCCCGCTAACGAGGGCAGAGTCGCGTTAATTGACGGAGAACGACGCAACTCGCGCCGCGATTCATTCAACGAGCATCTTTTTAGCCAACGACGCTCGGATCTCGCTCATAGTTTCGCGGTGAGGCGTCGTTACTCTGGTTTCCCGTTTATTTTCACGGGTCTTCGAGGACCGAGACGTTTTACTGCGCCGGGAAACGAGAATAGCACGGCATTGACCCGACCTCAGGGTCTCCGTGCTTTTGGATTCGTTTCAAGAGTCTCGATTCCGTCACGTCGCAAATAACAGAACTCAGACTCCTCGGTGCAATATGCAACCATTTCACAAATTACGAAGAAACATAAAATTATGAATTAGACTATGGTGAAATGTTTCTTAGCATGACTGCTGGAAACTTTGATTTTAGACAATTGTAAACTACGTAACAAACATCTCAACTTGAGAATTAATCAGTTCCACAGTGAAAAGTACCGACTAACGCGATAGTCAAGGTGTTAAAACACTATTCCACTAATCTCTATTAGAATAAGTGAAACGTAATATTGGGAACACGATTGTCCTGTAGAGTGGCTCGTGATTTTCCCACCAAACTATTTTTGAATTTACAATTTTCTAAATTGACTAACATCGTCTCGTAGATTATACATAAACTATTCTATCTAATAATCTCGAAGAAAGTAGAAAAGTGTAATCGTTAGCGTCTTGTGTTAACACTTTACTTTCCACAGTGAAAAGTCCCGACTAACGCGGTAGTCAAGGTGTTAAATCACTATTCCACTAATCTCTATTAGAATAAGTGAATCATAATATTGGGAACATGATTGTCCTGTAGAGTGGCTCGTGACTTTCCCACCAAACTATTTTTGAATTTGCAATTTTCTAAATTGACTAACATCGTCTCGTAGATTATACATAAACTATTCTATCTAATAATCTCGAAGAAAGTAGAAAAGTGTAATCGTTAGCGTCTTGTGTTAACACTTTACTTTCCACAGTGAAAAGTCCCGACCAACGCGGTAGTCAAGGTGTTAAAACACTATTCTGCCAACCAATCTCTATTAAAATAAGTGAAACATAATATTGGGAACACGATTGTCCTGTAGAGTGGCTCGTGACTTTCTCACCAAACTATTTTTGAATTTACAATATCGTAAATTGACTAACAGTCTCGTAGATGATACATCAACCATTCTAACTAATAATCTCGAAGAGTATAATCGTTAGCGTCTTGAGTTAGCACTTACTCGGCTCGACGAATCTGACTTTTCGCTGTGGCTGTGTCCAGGAGTCATTGCGATCGGGATAGACGGTGCGACGCTCGCATAGGTAACACTTTCGTTCGTAGAAGTACGAGGAAATGGGTCTGGGCCTGTCCATTTCGACGCTCGTATGAAAGATCGTTTATCGAGAAACGTACTGGCGCGCGGTTGACACGCGACTGGTTTTGCCGCGATCGGTTTTACGCGTATAATAATATAAAAATGCAAATCGATGCGTACACGTGGGAGAAGATCAGCCTTGACGGGATGCACGTATCTAACGAGAGTTTCATACGAGATTACTTGCCAAAAAGGTTAATTATACGGGGGCCGCTTCCGCCTCCTGAATCACCGGCCGATTAAGATGAAAGATATTTGGCCGCTTCCTTGCGACACGCAATTACCTCGACATCCCGATACACCTTTTTTTATATCGTTTTATCCGTAGATAGCGCGATAAACAAAGTACTCGAGCGACATGCGTCGAACGCGGACGTAAATTACTGGTTGAATCGCTCGTTTCAGAGAACGCACGAGGAAAACGAAACCACGAATGTGTTGATAATCTACGTTACGTTCGTATTATTAGATCGTTGTACGTAAAATAGCAGCATTCTCAAACTAATGGATCTTATCCTGTTTGTGAGAATGAAAATCGTTAGTAAAAGACGATTCTTATGAATCAAATTGGAGCCTACAATCTACCATTTTAAATAATGAACATCGACCTAAGGTAGTTCCAAAAATTTCGAGCAACAGAACTAAATCAAACTTCACCTTCGTTAAAAAAAAGTTACGGTGGACTATAAATAACAAGTATAAGGCATACATTTTTGTATTGTATTTCTAAAACATGTTGGTTTGTATTCTTATATTTTACCAATTGATCTAAAATTTAATTTTCAGGCCCAATAATGAAAAGGATTGTGCACCGCTAATGGACGTTCAAGGACTCGCATTCTCGAATTTTTTATCAGTCCAGAGAAAAGGAGAGGGGAAGAAACGCCTGAACGAGATCCGCGGGAGCAGTTCCGCGTTAGCCGTGACGCTTCTGTAACGCGTTTTTGTTGTTGTCGTTGCGTGACAGCGTGGGCGGCGCGGCGTGTCGACGCCGCCTTGAGCTGTCTTTATGGAGCAGCGTCGCGGAATGTTAAACTTGACCTACAGATCGGATCGCATACCAAGTATGTAGTCGCGGACGCGTCGATCGAGGACGATTTCCGAGGCGATCGCTGCTCAATGTGAGAAATTCGCCCAGCCGTGACGCGATCCGTCATTTCGTTGGACGCCGCCATCGTAAAGTCTCTTTCAAAGATCGTATAACCCGCGATAAAGACCCGTGCAACTCGTACTTTTAGGACCCAGGGATCAGAAATAACAGTTACATTAAAAATTTTTATATCGAGAATCGTCCATTAGGCTCGAAGAGAGAAAAAACAGTCGTCGCGATCGTTTATTTCGCGCCTGGCCGTTCGAGAAAGCGTAAAATAGAAACGGTCGCGGAATCGGCGAGCTCGCTAGAGATACGTGTACAGAGGACTGTCCTCGTTGTCGGCGTATAATTCACGCAACTTTCCAGGCGTGCAATACACGGGTATATCCTCCTCGGAGAACTGCAGGAAGTCCAGCAGGCTCTCCTCGAGCTCCTGCTGGTACACCGACCCGGCGTATTTCTCTTCGATTCGACGTCGATCGTTTTCCGGTATCTGAAGAGTCGTCGAACGATGAGAAACGAAAGAGAAAAGGTGGACTGTACTATAGCATTTAAGACAACGGTCATCATTGTTGCAAAAGCTTGTCCAAGAATTATTAATAAGTTTCATTGGATATATGAAAATTATTCTTATTATTAAATAACTTTTTTCTGTATCTCGATTTGGACATGTTGGTAATCGTACACAATCTGGTATATTTCGGTCGGTGAAATATCAAGGGAGCGTAAAAAATAATTAAATAGACTCGCGGTGAATACTATAGTACAGTGAAAAGAATCTTCGAGTCACTCACCGGCTCCCATTTTGATTTTACTAGAGCGCGGATGCAGTCATCGACCAAAGACGAACCGGGAATCGCCTGTCACGAATTTTAATATTGTTTAATTTTAATATAGTTGCTTTGGGACTAAATTTCAAGTTTATAGTCCCCATTGTGGTATAGTGTTACCGTTTTGGACAGCAACGTGGCTCGGTTCTCCACGCGAAGGCACTCGAATCTGTCGTAGAAGATCGCCATTGCCCACGGCTCCCGGAAGTACGCGTACAAGTCCGAGATCAGCGATTTCTGTCGCGACCAAAATGTCTACCACTCGTAATATCGACAATATTTTAACAACCTACTTGGAAACGCGTCTTCAACTCGTTCAACAAGCTCTCGTGCTTTCCGTACAACTTAATCACGTGGTGCAACTCGAAATTCTGAAATATCGTGCGATCTAAGAACAGGAAGTTTGCGTTCCATCCACCAAAAAGAGGACAATACGAATGAAACAGAAACTTTTCGCTATAACTATAATAAATAGAGTTTTCTTATATGATATGTTAAAAATGGCTTATGCAGAACAATAGCTGTGAAAGTTTTATATTAAAACGAATATTCTAGAATCTGTTTCACCTAAAAGGCGTTCGTTTCACTGGTGTCCTCTTTTCGTGAACGATAAAATGGCGCTACCTTTTTGTTGCAGCACGTTATCGACTCGACGGAGTCGAATCTGTTCAACCGTATGCGAAAGTAGCCAATTTCCGAGGCGCAGGAGCCTGTTTTCAACACCGAACCCTAAACAAGGACTTGAAAATGAGGTAACGCGGGGAATACTCACGTAGGAATTGCAACGAGTCGCCTGTTTTCGAGGGACGGGTCTCCCAGGTTTGCGAACGTGAAGGTACCGATAACCACCGGGCAAAGTGCAGGCTACGACGTTCGCGGAACGAAACAATGGCGGCGTCGAGCAAGCTTTGCTCTTGACCACCGACGAGGATACTTTACTGCCTCGTTGCTGGGCGTCGATGGCCGATCGCAGGACCTTCGCCAGCTTGCAACGATCAACATGTGTTTTGCATAAATTGAGGTACTACACGTATTACTAACTTTTACTCCACGAAAGAATCGTCAAGATTTGCTTCCAAACTACTTGGTGTAAACCATTTTAAAGACGAATTTTCTCCTTCACGTATGTTTCTTTCCTCAAACATGTTACTAGACTGCGGATCTTTATGCAAATTAATATTTTTATTAATAGAATTAATGAAACGGAAGCTTAGTAAAGGGTTGTCGCTAAATACAATTTATATTTTTGTAATTTTTTGAGAATTAAATGGATAAACATCCGCAGTTTACGTGTTACACCTTCCTTCATTGCTTTATTTTGCAACCCAGAAGCCTTAAACTCCGATTCAACGACTGTTAGCTGGCAACAAACTCTCTCGTCCCTGGCTCAGCGAGCTCGATCCTCGATCTTCGATCACGCTACGCTGTTAAACCTCACCCACACACGTTTGACGCTAGTGCCACGGGTCGTCGAGCGCCCTGAACTCCACGTGCATTCTTCGAATCCGTTCGCTCTGTTCTCGCGACCGATACTCCGAGCGTGAACGTTCGCTCGATCTCGACCGTGTCATTCATATTCAACCGTACGATCCGCGGCGGGAAATATCTCCGACGCGCTTAGAATATTATCGTGCTCGTGCAACGAGTCTTTGAAAGCGACCAGGGTCTGCTGTACTAACTCTCGTGCCGATTTCTACGCTGTCGTAGTACTTGTGCTGTTGGGAATCGGCGCAGTACTTTCTGGAGTATTTGGTGACGGTACCAGCCGCGAAGATCGACGGATCGTTCGTCCTGAACTCCGGATCTATGACCAGCTGACCGTCGAACACCAGTCCGGACCTGCAGATCGCTGAAACGGATCAATTTTAATTTGTTTAGACTCGATGGCCAGGGTGTTCGATCGATCACCCAAAAATAGCTCCATGTTGATCGTTTTCTCGTTGAAGTTGACGAAGACGTCGCACTCCATAGTCCTGGTTCTGCCCTCGGATCGCAGAACGATCGCCTCTATGAATTTTCCCTCGATCGAGCTCCTCAGATGCCAATCGATCAGCTCCCAGTTCATGAGTACTTCGACTCCGCTGTTCGAAATCGAATTCATCGTCTCCGCGTACACCTTTAATACATCGACGACTCGTTTTACGACCGATTTGTGAGAAACGATCTCCCCGATCTCTCGTACTTCGCAGTCGTCGAAGAAGACGCTCTCGCGAGACTCGTTCGCCGGCAACGGCGGCTCGATCAAAGTGATCCAAGCGCCGTTTATTCCGGATTCGAGCAGTCCTTGAAGAGCGCAATAGCAGTCTATATTGTGCCCGTAGAGAACGATCCTTCCTGAAAGGGAACGCGTTCAAAGATTTCGCTCTCCACCCAAAAGGAACAACCTACTTTCGTCCTGAAAGTCGCTCATCGACAGTTGGATCTTCTCCAAACACGCCACCGCCTGCACGTCGTCGTTGATCGTCAAACAATTCCAGGGCGTTTCGTGTTTCGGGAACTCTCTGTTCGAGAAAGAAACGAGACTAATGCGGTTCTCCATTCGATCGTTCGAAGCTTGGTTCTCGTTTACCCGCTCTTTTGCGCCTCCAGCTCCTCGCGAAACCGTGGCCTCTGGTATTGCAATCCGCAGGTCAGTATCAAGTAGTCGTACGTGATGTTCCCTTGATTCATCACCGTCACGTACTTCTCTTTCCTATTGATCGCGCGGACGTAAGCACGGACATTGTTACCACCATTCAACGACATTTGCAACGCCTGTTGTCAATTGCCTGACAAAGAGACCTCTCAAGAGCTCTGACGCTCGCTTTTAGCTTTTGCACACTCGCAGGTGTTAATTGGCATTCGGTTTCGGGGACAGATAGTTTCTTTAACCGCCTTAGAGACTGTTTTAGATCGATAGATCCAAGATAAAGTGTGTTTGAGATCGGTAATACCTGTTAATCGTTACCACCGTGCCGTAGATGACGTTGATCCAAGCACGTGCTACGACCAGACGACGATAATCTCGACAGTATCGACCTCGAAAGGGAATCGAACGCACGATCGCGCCGCCATGTTGTTTCTCGAAGGGCAAACCGTTCGGCGATATCAGCGTGAGATTCGCGAATCGCACTGAATCTAGAGTGGGCCTGAAAATATGTTAGATTCCCAGCGATACTTTCTAATTTTTCAGGTTCCCCCATGTTTGATGTAAATTACGCCACGAACATAGATGGCGGAGAATCAGAGAAACGCGGCAACTCCGTTTCTCTTCCTTTCGTTACACGTTTGCAATTAGCACTTTCTTCGAATATCTTTGAATAATCTCACCCTAAGGCGAGGTGTTCCATGAAAGCGACTCCGCAGTCGGAGGCGCCCACGACAACGACTTTCGCGTCGACGATAAAATGGCCGAGGTTCGCCAACCTGGGCGTCGTCATGAAAAGCGCGAAAGGTTCGCTGGTCGTTTTGGGCTTATCGGTTTCCGCGCAGCCATGGAACTTGTACTCGATCCTCTGTCGAGGATTGACGAAGACCATGGCGTCCAAACAGGTCGCTAGGGGCTGCGAACGAGTCTGAAACCGCGGACGAAAAAAGGGGTTGAAGGGGATTTATGGTAAATAAATTTAGAATCGTAGATTTTGGGTGAACTCGAGAGCGTTTACCAGAGCGCTCAAGGCGCGTTCCTCGAGCCGATAATACAATACTGCCAAGCCGCTGAGACGCATCATTTCGCGGAAGAAGAACCGCAGATGAACAGAGAAGATCGGCGTTAACACGAAATGCAAGATGCAACCGTGAGCGTCATAAGCCACATTCTGCGTCGCCATGTAATCCTCCACGTGGTACCGTCTTTTGATGAACACGACGTCCTTCTCGGCACTAATTGCACGATCGGATGCGCTAATAGAATATGATCGAAGAAGTTCACGGGTCGAAGGAATTACCAGAGAATCGCCACGCCGATTATCGCATCGTTCCATTGGAAGACGTAACAAAACAGGTCGGAGCGTCGCTTCGTCACCGCCGCCTCCAAGTCGCTCAGCGTGTTCTCCGCCTTTGGAATTCCGCGCAAAAGCTGACAGACGTCTTCCCAATCCTCGAGAAGGCCCTCGCGAGTCGTTAGTCGCCCCAAAAGAGACGCTCGATGCGTAGCGTACAGCGTCATCGGATAATCTCTGTTGCATCTCAATGGTACGCGCTGCGCCATTCGAACGCGCAATAGTCTCTCGTTTAATGACGAAAAACTGGGCCCACCAGATGGAGGAGGGTTGGAAGTTCGAATAAATGTAATAGAATTAAATATTTCGAAACAAAGTCTCCAACCCTTAAGTGAACTCTCGATCTCGACTGAATTATTTCGATGTTGATTTTTACCAAATTGGTAAATGGAAATTGACTCTTCGATCACTTACTACTAACTCAAGCACTCTTTCTCACGAAATAGATAGTAAACACTCCAAGCAAACATATCTTTTTTTACATTCTTTGCACATGTATTCTGCCCTACATAATCACTTTAAAACAATAATATCCCTGTTTCCTTGAAATAATCGAGTAAAAAGGGTTAAAGCATTTAAAAAATAATGAACTAACGAAGGATTAGGCCCCAATAATTCACTTAAGAGTTAAATTTCTCCATGAGCAATCTGGTGGTCCCGATTAGATTGCAATAAGCGAGGGAGCACTGTGTGTCAAAAGCTATCTCGCAGATATTTTGCAGTACCAAGGGTTTTCCATGGTTAATTCGTAGTTTTGGCCAACTTTCAACGTACCACGAAATTTTCCAAGAAGGGTAGAAAGGGATGGGACGACGGCAGGAGGATAACGCAGTAGTCCAGGTCAGGGAAACACTCAAAGGCAGCCTCGAGAAAGTTTCTACAGCAGCGGTTCTTGATCTGTGGCTGCCTCGCGAAGATCTCCACAACGAACGCGTTCACATCGCCGCGATAGATCGGCTGCGGAGGAAGCTGGATCTCTTTCGGCGGCAGCATCTCGCTCGATTTGATCGATGGGACGGTGAGTCTTCCTTCGTCAAAGAGGTAAACGGTGTTGCAAAGTCCAAGTCTCAGAGACGGGTAAAATAAATAGCGACTTCTCGATATTTATTCCATTTAACAGACACCGAGACGAGCTTTCAACGCGAAATAGAGTCGTTTTGTCTCACATTTGTTATTCAAATTTTGCTTCTGGATAAGAAATTCACCTTCTGGCGTTTAAGACGTTCGAACTCACGTGGAATATCGAGCAAAGTGTCCTGAAACACGCTGGTCTGCATTTTCGAGCCGTAGTTATCGCTAAAATTATCGGTGATCGATGACTCGGAGAGAATGTCGCTCTTCGAGAAAGTAATTGGCTTCTCCGTAAACTTTTCGTCCCGACGATCGTTCAAGTCTTTCAAGCTGTTGCTTTCGTTAGGTTCCTCCAAATCCTCCGCGGATATCAGCGTCGACAAGCTGTCTCTGTACAGAATACGTCTAAGGAACTATATGATCGAAGAAAAAAGAACTTCAACCCTTTGCAACGATTGCAATTTCATCTACGATCGTCTATCAAAGAGACTTCAATGCCTAGGTGTTCTCAGAGGGTTAAAATCGTTTGTAGATTATGGATCTCCCAACCCGTAGATCCTCTTCGTTCGAGGCTTTCCCGAGAAAATGGAGAAGAAGGTCTCGCTGGCCGGTTCCATGCTCCCCGGAGGGAAAACGTCGTCCTCGCTGGGCTTCCTGAGACCGTTGTAGGGTCCAAGCTCGAAGTTCTCGTTGAGAGCGTCGACGTCTACTCTTCTGTTGAGGAACATGACGCCAGTGGCCAGGCCGTCGTGGTCCTCGGAGACGATCAGCTGCCTGTAATCGTTGGGATAACGAACCATCTCGCTGACGTAATACTCCCCGTAAAACTCCTCCACGAGACGCGACTCTGCGCCGATGATCGGTATCACCAGGTCGTTATCCTCCTCTCTGTCGCGCGGGAATGTTTCGTTCTCAATCGTCGTACAGCCGTTCATTTAAGAGCTTTTCGTTTCCCGAGAAGTTCAGGAAGCGTTCGTACAAATGTTAATTAGCCTCACACGATGCGTCGGATCCTCAGCCGGGAGTTTTTCGAATGACGAACGGTCACGTAGAGGGACTGCACGGAGTACGTGTTCGTCGAGCACTTGGACGAGATCCTGATCATCTGCTGCTCGAACACGTCCGCTGAAAAAAGTCCCAGCGAGAACTGTTCGCGGTCTCTGGTCGGGTCGCGTCATCGACCGGGGGATCGATTCGAGGGGTCACCTGGAATAACCCGCGGAGGTAGCACGAGGATCACGTGCAGGAGATACGAGGCGACGTCGAACAGCCCGGTCAGAAGGTCCTCGAAGAAATGACCGGTGTACCGTCTGTCCCACACGAGGAAGTGCACGAACATCGAGTCCCTTTCCGTCACGTTCTCCAACCTTTTTCAAACGAAACCCGGACCTCGACGAAGGATTCTCAAAAAATTGTTTCTTTGCATGCACACGAAAGCATGAAATTTCAAGGCAGCAACGATGCTTGATATTTGACGTTTGGTGCTTGAAACGAACTTATGTTCCGTTCCAATAATTGGACTCTAATCGTTTCTAATCGCGTTTACCCGTATAGCGTGCCCAACCAGGCGGGCCAATCTTGAGCGATCACCGACGGCACGTTGGGATAATTGCAGAGGCACATGCCCGACACGACGTCCCGTTTCTCGTTGCACTGGACCACGGACAGGCAGGACGCCTCGCTAAATATGGCGTAACCGTGTATTTTAAACAATTTTTTTAAACCTCCAAAACTTTAACAAGCTTTAGTTCCGTAGGAATGGTTGTGCCGTGTGAATGTTTACTAATTGGTATGGCTGAGGAATGTTTCGAGTGAATTTATTATAGAGCGAACGCAGCGTGTTCTGGTAAGATTGGACCAGGTGTGAAAGAAAATGAATTCGAAGAAGCATATAAGCTTCGGGAAAAGCACGTAGTCTAAAAGTTTAGTCTAGAGTCAAAAAGTCGATTGAGAGAGTCCTTTAACAAGCCCTCAATCAAGGAATTGATATTCTCGATTTTCGTCATATTTTGACCTCTAAAATCTCTCATTGAAATTTTTCCCAAGGATAGTCGAACACCCTGTATATTATTAAAAGTCGAAAAATTGTTTCCCTGCAAATTCTGCAGTTCGAAATTGCACCTCAGAGAATAAATCGAATTAAATAGACGAGGTACTAGATTCGTCCAAGGTCGGTTTCGCCAAAGATTTCGAACGTGTCCGGTCGAATCAGCCTCTCCAGAATGGGCAGGTCAGAGTGTTCCATGCGTCTGACGGTCAGGTGGATCCCCGACGACATATCTTCGCTCTTTCGTCCACGGTGGACCGCCTTCGCCTCGTCGAACCAAAAATCCATCATCTTGCAGCAGTTATAAGAAAGCTCGATACCGTTCCACCGAACTGAAGTTTGACTCTTTAAAGTTTTCCCGGCCACGTTCACTGATCGAGAGCGACTCGACAAATTTTCATCGGGGACGGGTTAATCGACCGCCAAGGTCGACGAGGGTCCGGGAGCCATTCCGCGAGATCGAATTACGGCGCACGAGGGCTTATTACGCTTTTGCTGGTCTTGATTGGCCGCTGAGGACGGCACGCGGCCACGAGGAAAATAACGAAGCTGCTTTCGATCGTTCGAGCCGCCAATTTACTTGTCATTCGATTCTAAACAAGCAAAATTAGCTATTTTACGAACCAACGCGCCGTAACGCGTTGAACGATACTTAGCAAATGGCGGCTCCGTTCCGGTTCGAACGTACACTTTTAACGCTGGAGCTACCAGAAGTGGTCGAAATGATTTGCAATTTACATTTATTTCCCATTTTATTGCACATTTCTTCGAGAATCTATCATTTCAATTTCTTTGGTATAAATAAATACACCATAATTGTCGGTAATTCTAGTGTTAACCCCTTGCAGTACAATCTGACTCGTTATTAGTTCTTTATACTTATATTGACGATGAAGTCTAATATTAAATTCGCAAAATATTAGTAAAACAAACCTGTTCTGTTTTACGAACGAATTTGACCAAAATGAAAAATTATATTGCAATTAAATCGTAATCGTAGGTGGAGGGTTTAATGGCGACGTTTGGTCGTCGAAGACTGTGCAAGGGGGAATACGTCGGTGGTCGCTGAGACGTCGAGAAAGGATGCAGGATGTCTCGATGAGGATCGTTTGCGAATCGATCCCCTGCAAAGGGAAACGATCGATCGAATTACCGGGTGTCGACCGACCGTGGGAAAAGCGAGTCTGGCTATATGGGCCCGACAAGGCGACCGACTTAACGCCCGCAAAAAAGGTAATAACGAAACTCCGCGAACGATTTAAACGGAGGGGCAAAGTAATTGCTTAGCGTTCTCCCTCCATCTTCTTTCACGGCCTGCTTGCCTTTTGTCGCGGACGTCTCGCGTTAGGCCACGTTCACAATTCGATCTCTTCTTGCTTATACAACTAGACTGCGGACGTTTATGCATTTATGGGAAATTTTAATTTCTAAAAAACTACAGAATTTAGTTAATATGCAAGAATATAAGAAATACTTAAAGTAAGGTAATTATTATATCTAGGGGTAGAGACAACCCTCTGCAAAGCTCAAATTTCATTAATTTTATTAATAAAAATATGAGTTTGCATGAAGATCCGCAGTTTACTAATAACATACGGTTTCCTATCGTCGATCAGCGATATCATACAGTGATTTTGTGAAACATCTTTCAGAGATGAACACAAAGGACTAGCTCTTAAAGCGAAATAAATGTTCACGAGTGATCGATGTATCAAGTTGAAATTTGGTAAAGGAGTGAGCGGCGGATTTAGACAGAACCTGTCGATCGGAGCATTATTGGTATGCGAGGACAGATTAGAAAGGAGTAAATTAAACAGATAAATAGGAGAGTTTGCAAGCAATAACCTTGCAAACGAGACAAAATGGTGGACCCAAAGGAATACCACTATCGAATCGACCGTGGAACTAACGACGAAGATCGTAAAATTTCATAGAGAAAATGATGCTCGTTCGAACAAAAAAGTTCCACGACTCGAGCGCGGATCGGCCACGCATCGCGGAAGCTATTTACGGTGCATTCGGTGCGTGAAACGCGTCCGACACGTGCACGTGAAACGATGCAATCGGCCCCGACCGACGATCGTTACGCTACGTTTCCGTCGTTGCACTTTTCGCCAGTCGTCGGTACCGTTTCGCGCCGCGAGAGTCTCTTGCAGGCCCGATGTTATTCTAATTTCCGACGCTCGGCGTCTGGGAAACGGCGAATGCGGCTCTCGGGGCACGATGGTTGCTCGAGAGACGATTCCGAGAACTTTGCTAATGACTCCCGTCATGCAACCGCCGTGTCACGACACGCGAGGTGAGAACGCCGACCACTTTTGGCAGCTAACTCCTACGCCCACCGAAGCTCCACTTTTTACCATTCTGGGAAAAAATATCGTCCCAGTGATCGGTTCAAAGTCGAATTCTGGATCGAAATGAGCGAAAATGCGATCTAAACATATCCTAAAAAGTCAGAGATCAATTAAGAGACTATACATTCAGTGTCAGAAACGTACCTTTGTTTAAATTCAAATTCTAGACCGAAAAGAGTGAAGACAGAAATTAACAATATCTTAACAAATCAGTTGTCAACAATTTAGTGTTTGAAATGTACCTTTGCTCGGTTTAAAATCAAATTCCAGATCGAAATAAGCAAAAATGCGATCTAAACATATCCTAAACAGTCAGAGATCAATTGAGACACTAAACATTCAGTGTCAGAAATGTACCTTTGTTTAAAATCGAATTCTAGATCGAAAAGAGCGAAGACACAAATTAACAATATCTTAACAAATCAGTTGTCAAGAATTAGTCAACAATTTAGTGCCTGAAATATACCTTTGTTCGGTCTAAAATCGAATTTTAGATCGAAATGAGCAAAAATGTGAACTAACAATATCCTAAAAAGTCAGAGATCAATCAAGACACTACTATTTAGTATATGAATCAATTTAGTGTCCTGTGAAAAAGAATATAGACTGTTGTTACGCAACTTAGCCAGAACTTTCCACGAGAAGCGATTAAAAGCAATTGAGCGCGCCCGGAACGAGCGAAATTGCAGACGAAATGCAGGCGTAAAATAATGAATTATCGTTTCCAGATGGAGACGGGCTCTTTCTGCGTGGGTCAGAAACGATCCGAGCAGAAGTTTCTAATTAGCTCGCTGAAGATCCGCCGACCGATTACAGGCTGCGAGTTCGTCGCGACGCGGAAGAAACATGGAGTCGCGATCGTTCAGCGGCTCGGGAAACGGAGATTTTATTAACCCATTAGCCGACGCGAAAATGCAACGTTCAAGTTTCAACTATCGTTTCCGCAAAAACGATCGATGGATTTCTTGCTATTAGTCAAAATAGTGATCTTTATAAAGAAACGATTACAACGCGTTGTTGCGATGATTTTGTATAAAATTTCTGAAGAACGAGTTCGGAAAATTGGTCAAGTAAACTCGTAAAAGATCTTTGTGGGAATATGTAGGTACAGCAATCAGCCCTGTTTTCGAAAGTCTCGCAAGAAAGAATGATCGATCCATATAATCAGGATAATAATGACGGTCGTAAGAACCTTGCAAGGAGGAGAGCATTCAAACATTGCAACATGTACTCTCAATGGCGGCAATGCCTTGTTATTACTCGCGCGATCCACGTTTTTTCTTCAAAACCGCGTAAGAAATCGAAAACGCAGATTCTGACGAGCCGCAACGAACGAGCCTCTATTTTAAGAATACGATCGATCTTTTATTTCCAATACACCGTTATGGAGTTGTTAGCCAGCCTTGTTTATAGCCCGCTTTTAGCGACACTTACCTTTGGAGTACAATTTTATAACATTCTACGTAATCTTCAAAGCGTGTATTATTAACGCGTTAAGAAAAGACACGCGACAGGAAAAAGACAACTCGATACGTGTGTTATAAACGTACACGTTCGCTGCGGTTCGCGCTTTAACGCGTATCGCGTGCAGTAACAATTTTTACGAGTCGCAAAAATGTACGTTTACGCCAAGTGTTGCAATTCCACTTAGCTTGCGCAGTGGTTAAAAAAAAATTGTTAAATAAAATGAAAATACTCAGCCAGTTGTACGTTAAAGTGTATAACAATTTTAAAAAATAGATGCTATATAGATTAACAGCGTTTCGAACATAATCTCTGTGTTAAAGATGCACCGGTGCCCGTGCAAACAGATAACGCGTCAAAGGGATATGTTGAAACAATAGCTGATTAGCGCGCGTACGCTAACTCTTACGTCACATAATTGAGATTTTGCGTCGCAATTACGACACTGATCTATTTTTCTCAAAATTGAACGTCTGAGGCTGAAATTTAAGCTACGCTTATTTCAGACGCAGACCTGTGACCCTACCAAATTTCATTAAAATCGGTGAGGTTCGTTTCTGACACCGTGCAGGTGTGGGTCGGATGCGACCCGGGGCCCAGACTGTTAGCCCCGTCGAGTGCTCCACTTTCACGTGCAAGTAAACAGTATCGTTTGAATGGATCACCGTTGCCGGAGCCACGACTTCCGCGCAGCGGGAACGCAACGTGTTGTTCGCAATCCTACCCGGTTTGTTGCGCGCGACGCTGGGAATTGTGGGAACCCCGGGTAAAAGTAAAAGTAAAGGAACAACGAGCCTCGCGTGTTTCGCAAGTCGGGAATTCGTACGGTGTTTTGTCCGCGTTTCTGCATTATTCTGTCTCACCAAAAAAAAAAAAATTTCATCTCATTAACGATTACATTTATAATACTTTACATTCTGTAAAAAATTACATGAACAGTCGTAATAAAATCCCTTGACAAGTAATGAATAATAGGCAGGCTTCCAAAAGGAATCGTGCATAAAAATTTGGCACGCACTTTCGATTGCAGTATTAACGATACATATGCGATGCTTTACAGATTTCATAATTTTTATCGATTCTAAAATCAGAATCTTCACGGTTATGGGGGAGGGGGGGTTTGTATTGCGAGTTTGAGATGTTTGCTAGCGATGGAATATGAGCTTACCTGTTGCTCGTCGAGGTTCGATCTGTCGCGTCGTGAACCGTGTTGGAGAACGGTCAACACCCTCGCTCGTCGGCGGTGCGCGCTAGACTGGGATCGTGCAGCGCACTTTCGGAGATCAACCGGCAGCAACTGTAACGCGAAAGAGTGCCGTGATGACGTGGGTGGGGAGGGGGGCTTAGGGGAAAGTACCTGCCAACAACTACTCGCCTGTGCCGTTATCGAAAATGGGAAGCAAACGAAAATTCTCTATCGTGTTTACATCCTGCTTTCTCCTCGAGCGTTTATCGCCGGCGTAATTCTCCGCGTTCTTTCCATTTTTCGAAAACGTGTTTCGCGACTGACCGGCGACCACATTGCTAATGCGAATTTACTCCTGTCTAGGTTGCTGGAATAATACAAACTCCCAACGAGAGAAATGGAATAATATTAAATTTTTCCTAAACAGAGGGCATACGAAGGTCAATATTTTTTAATACATCTGGTCATTCCCTGCGCGTTAGTTTGGAAGATATATTAATTGTGATATTGTGGACGTCATAGAGAGTACGACTGCGAATAATTACCCTTAAACAGTTAATTTTGATTGCTATAAAAATATCGACTGTTAGAAAACAACTCTGGCTTGAATGAGTCTAACATGCACGTATTGCAACGCGACACTTTGAGAATCAGGTGCACGGACGCGTGTCTTGTGTTTGAAATTTTGAAGATCGACCCTGCCGATATCGACGGCGAATGAAACGCGATTAAAATCGAACACGTGGCCGGCAACTGCGTACGATAACGCGTCCCTCACCCAGTTACATCACCCACGTTGGAATTGCTCTAATTACGCAAAGGTGCATTATACATTCCGCGAGGCAACGTGCCAGACACTTTTCTCGCGGAAGATTCGATCGAGCGCAAGTGTGATCGATGCAGAACGACGCTTTAAAAATATAATATTTATTGGACATACTCTTAATCTTACAAGCAAAACTTTTAGACGATTAGCATTAGAACGGTTTTAAGTAAATATCCTGTATCCGACGCAATAAATTAGAAAACTTATATTACTTTCGCTGTTAACCAACTTATCATCACAAAAGGCTTGTAAAATTAACGCGAAACAACGAAACGAGTACGAGTCCAAAAATAATCATTCGTACGGGAAAATTTTCAGAAAAATTAACCTAGCAAGTAATCGATAAAACACGGATATCGACGCTTCTGCCTTGCGCGAAGCAAATGGAATGACGTCGAAGTATAATTTTACGTAAATAATTCTTTCAAAATACGAGTCTGTAGAAATTGCAAACATGTATATTGCACTCGTTAACGGTACAGGAGAATAAATTCAGTCGATAATATCGTTCCTAATAATTCCTGTTTATACGTTGACGGCGGAACATCCTCGATCAAATCTGATAACAATTGCACATTTTCTAAAAAGTGTGATTCGATAGAAACAAAGTTTGATTTTGAATTTCTATGACGAAGCTATTTATATAGTCATTGCATATAATTTTTATGCACCCCGTACTTTCACCCGATATCTCGTGCCCGCCATTCGTCAACAAATGATTCTCCATTATCGTGTATCGTTTCCGCCTAGCTCAACGATCTATCACGAAACTTTTTTTTTCTAAAAAAAAAGCCATAAATAAAAAACTAATCGATACCGGATCAAAACGATCGACGACGATACATAGATATTACCGTAAAATGGAAACACATCTCATTCGATGCAGTCTTTCGAAGGCTTAAATTAAACTATTCACACGGTTTGAGAGAAACACGGTAATTCGGCTAATTCGTGTTCAGGGACGTTTATTCTAATGGAAAGAGTGATAAAAGCTTTCAGACGCGAATCGATAAACGCAGTAAGGTCGACAGCCGTTCGTTTTAAAAATGGAAGTGTTTGCAAGATGGAAGCTTAGATACCGCGATACATTGTCCGCAACAACCAAAGACTTTAGGTTTTGCGTAAAGAAAGTTTGGTAAGCAAACTATGCAAGCGGTAACGATACGAGCCGCGTGACTTATATCGTTCGAAGCATTTTTTACGGCGATTAAAATTTCTTCTTCCGACGGACCGCGAACCGATCAAGGAGGCGTCGACGCTCGACCATTCTTAAAAGTACATCGTGTTCCGGAATATCGAAATTTGAGCGGGAAAAAAAGAAAAAAAAAAAAAAGAAAAAAAAATATTGAAATCTTTGACGATAAGATTTTCGAAGATCGATGCTTCTCGATCTAAATGTTACGATTCGCAATAGTTCTATCCGTATCCGGAAGTATCACAATACAGCTATGCAGTTTTTCACCTGTCCTCGTTTACTGTTTGGGGAACGTTATCTTCGCTGTTGCTTCGCGTCGGTTGTTCAGCGACGATAACTTCGCTGCTTCCCTTGTTGTTCTGCACGTTCTCGACTTTGTACAACACTTTGTGGCAAAGCGGGCAACGGTCTTGCACGTACAACCATTTCCGCAGACAAATACCGTGGAAGAAGTGTTTGCAGAGGGTGATCTTCGCGCTCTGCATCTCCTGGTAGCAAATGGCACACACGTCGTCCAACGACTGAAGCTGTTCCGCCTTTGCATCGGGCAGGGAATTGATTTTGTTCACGGCCATTCGACGCTTCATGAACACGCTCCATCCGGTCTTCGCCTCGCACCAAATGTTCAGATAAGCGTGAAGGCACATCATAACGGCGCGTATCGCACCGCTGGACTCGAACACCAGTACCCAAAACCCGTTGATCAAGAGGATGATACCGAAAGCGAACTCGACGGTGTTGCCGAACGAGCGTATAATGTAGACGCAGTCGTCGAGCTGTTCCCAGAACACGCTGCAGTACGCGTCGATCAGGAACAGAGAGTATATCGCGAGCGAGACCACCACCTTTACTATCACCTCGATGTTGAACACTGACACCGTCAGAAGCCACGTACTCACGGTGAAGTGCGACCACAGATACACGAGCAACGTAACCGGGAACAGTATCAGAAGCGCGCAGACCGCCAGCGCGCGAATGTGCCGATGAAGGGCCGGATTGTGAGAGGCGCTCAGAGACATTAACAGAGGGTTCACGATGTTGTGCACGAAGTGCAGAACCGCGGTGAACAGTAGACAGAAGTTACAGCAGAGCCGCACCAAACGTTTCTCCCCGTCCAAGCTGGTCAGTCCGGTTTGGAGAGCCAGAATGTAAAACAAAATCGCCGACAACGTGCCGATGCTCTTCTCGTCCCAGTCTTCGGTGAGCATCACCCATTGGAAGAAGCAGCCGATGTAATGGCAAATGAACGAAATTATACTTGTCATACCCAGCACCGCCGTCAAGGTCTCGCAGCCGCTTATCAGCAGCGTCTTCGTCATTCCGAAGTACGTGAACGTTTCATCGCCGTAATGATTCAGAAGAATCTCGATGACTTGGCATCCGACGCGTAACAGCCAAAACGTGCGCAACACGCACGGGACGTTCAATCGTATCCATTCGGTTTCCGCGAGCGCGGACAAACCGTAATGATTTATGAAGTTGCTCGTGTGTTGGTAGCCCATGTAGATTGTCTTCAGCATGGTAATGCCGTGGTACCAGAAAACGAAGTTACATACTGCCATTGGAAGAAGTGCCGCGAAGACCGGGGTGTGCTGAAGGAATTGTGTCTGAAAAGATAGTTTACGTTTCGCTTGAGTAAAGGTAGATGAGAGTGTAGTATACAGAGCGTCTCGCTTAAACGGAATATCTAAATTTAGTTCCGCTGCCATTCAAAATAAGAGCGAATGGAAATTATGGAAATTAAGTCATAAAAAAATCACTTCTGCGCGCAATAAATAAACGACTCTTGATTTCGATAACACCGGAAATTTAAATTTTCGATTTAAGCGGAACTGTCGTATTTAAAGTTTAGACAAACGATTAAGATGTTCTGTACACACGGACGTGCTCGATTTTATTACGCTTAACTTTTCCCAAGATGCAAAATTTTATTGATTAAAATTAATATATTAAAATAAACTTACCGGTAGCGGATAAATGGCCAAAATAGACGGTGCCATGAAACTCAGTACAAGAAGTTTTTGCAGAATCGGATGTTTTGGGGCAAGATGAGTGTAACAAAAAATGCTAGCTAATATGCATTGCAATATGTAATTTTCAATTAACACATACCCAGGTCCTTCGTTTAGGATGTATTTTATATTGAAACACAAAATATCATTGAGTATATGAGTCGTGGATCCATGTGCATCCACATATGCTGTAATAGCTTTTATTGTACTAACATTTGACCAATGGGATAGCACTATTACTCCCATGGATATTAAATGTAGGTACACGACTATGAGATGTTTTGCCCATAACATAAATGTACATATTGCAGCAATAAATCCTGTAAAGCAAACAATTCATTTGTCAAGTAGCAGTATTTGTTATATTATGTTTTCTTTTTAATTTTATAATTGTAAGTAGAAATGCACACTAGTTTTGTATAATTTGATTGACGTTTCATGAATACTGTATCAGCTACGTAACACAAAGTTTGCCCCTCTTTACAAATACAGTGACCCATAGAAATTAACCCCACTATTTTAAACACAACACTACCTTTCTACCATCGATTGTCTGTATTTTTTGTTCAAAGTTATTTAACGTAAATACTACCTAATTGTACTTCATTATCAAACTTTACTATTAGATTACTATAAAATTACGAAAATCCTTAAAAAATTTATGACAAAAAAATAGCTCAAAAATATATATCAACTACAATCGATTACATAGATTAATTACGAAATAAATGTCTTACCTAAACAACAGCATACAAATTTCAGTACAATCATAAAATACATCTTATAGGCAAGGTGCCCAAAGTCAAATGATTCCATGACAAACAAATTGGATGTTACAGATGCCATTGTATCCACAGTTGATGCTACATTTTTTGACATTTTAAAACCATTCTCTGTGCTATCCAGGACTACATTCTGAGTAGGTAGTCCAAATCCAATTCTAAGTAATTCATCTATGACGAATAGATGAGGAACTCTAATGATAACATTAATAAAACCTAAAAATCTCTTGGGTGTAGAATTATCCATTGTCTTTCAAAGTTTTATCTTTCGTCCAATAGATTCTGAACTGGATGTTTACTCGTACAGAGTATAAGAATAATATTCCAAAGCTGCTCGACTTAATTTGCTCTGTTTAACATCAAAACGAAAAGCATTAAAAATATACAATTTAGAAGATCCTGTATGATCGCAATTCACCTATCTATTTACATTCTAAGAACAAATAATGCTACATCACGTGCAAGCTTACCTTAAGAATGTACAAAATTTCTGTTTATCACATTCTCAGATCGCTGTTATTTTAGACGTGTTACCGGGGTAATTCTTTTTAGCGAAAGGGTGACGAAATCAGAAAGTTCGTGTAATCGTTTATTACGATCGGCAAACGAGAAAAATCATGAAAAATTGATCGTCGTAACGAAGAACGCAGTGAAATTTCAAAACTTTGACGGATCAACGTGTCGAAGTCGGACGAACGTAAAACGCAGGTTTAACGGTAGAGAACGGTCGGTTATTCTTTTCCCAATTGCAGGCGTCTTGAAGCGCATCACAACGTTTCATAATGTTACGAAAAAGAATCTGTCATTGTGCGAGAATATCGCAACAGGTAGTACTCGCGATAGTTTTTGGTCTTGAAACTTCTGTCAATTGTGTTCTCGCTTTCTTCGTTGGGAATCAAACAGCGTTCCAGAATGTTTGTTGTTCAAGCACAATAACCGGAAACTGAAAACACGTACACGAAACAGCGACTGGATGCGAACTAAAGTGTGTTTTTGCGATACGTGTAATTTTCCCCGACGTAAAACACGGCCGCATATTCTTTGGAGGTTACGGAGGACGTGCACGAAGAATTTAAACGATTTGAGCAGATGGCGCTACGTGATTTTTATTCTACGTGTTCGTTATACGGCGATTTAACGTAATTTAAAATCGAAGTAATTATTAAAAATCGTAATTTCAATCTCGTATCTGCGACGGTACTTGAAATTAAACGAAATATCGGTTCATTTGTAGCAAGGTTTCCATCAACGAAATCGTCTCATTAATTTTCTATATCCAATACTGATGAAAAAATAATGATTAAGAGATTCCTATTCATACCTACTTTAAATTTGCATCGTTTAACTTTATTGCGTTGTTTCCTTAACGCGTTGACTGTCACGCCAATGTTTTCAAATTGTAATATGACAAATAGAAGTGTTCAATGGCTTAGTGTCATATTTCTTCCTCTGCAGTAGCTTAATGTCGGCGATGTTATTAAACAAAAGTTTATTCTTGTGTTTTAAGTGTTATAGGAACACGTAAGTTTAAATCGTCGATCACCAGTGATCACCATGGCAGTCGTATTAAAAATGTGGCAAAAAAATAATTAGTATGAATTTGATTCAAAGAACTTTCGACAAACAAAATTTAGAAATATTTCCGAGAATAATGCGAAACAAGACAAAAAACATGCAAATATACAAATGTCAATGGTAGAACCGGTTGATATGGACGACGACTACGTTCAATTAATGATTGCTAAAAACATTCGGCCCGTATCGATCTAATTGACGAGATTTCGAAGAATCGTAATCATGTTAAAAATGATAAAAGGTTTAACGATCAGTGTAATACCGTATCATTAGCAAAAAGACGCTATTGTGCAAAACACGGAACGATAACGTGCAAGCTAGTAACATTGATTCTACAGTTTTAACTTAATCTGTATGATATGCAAGAAACGAGCATGCGATGAAGATATGTATATGTAGTTACATGTTTGTAATTATAGATTCAATATCGGTAATTTTATTATGCAAATTCATAATTTTATTCGTTAATAGTATCATGTACTCTCTATCGTTCGCTCGTAAAAATAAAAGGTGGTGGGACTGTAATAATATTACAATGACAAGGTGAAAGAAGAGGTACGGGTCTGTGGAGACTGAAATAAAATTTCAATTGATTTTGGAAGCATACTCTCAGTCGGAACTAGCTAAAACACGTTACGCTCGACATCGAATGTTTGTTTCAGGCGTGTACACGTTGTACACGGTAGTATTTGTTCGACGATTAAAAATGATGATTCCAATTGTACGTTAAAAGATCACGGAAATTAAAAGATTCATTACAAAGTAGGAACGAAGGATTTAATTATCTTCGACTATACGGAACAGTCGACATTTACATTTTTCTTTTATATAATTAGTTGTACCTGCCTGATGTATTCGATGTCTGAACAACGTGAAACGATATTTCACCCGCGAAAGAAGATAATAAATTAAACGATTATGCCATTGGCCTTCCCCTGTCACTTTACAGGCATGCAACGACACAGACGTGCAGAGTACAGAATATTCATACTGTCATTCGTTCCAAACTAGCTACCATATGTATGTATATGTATATGTATATACATATATATAGTATATATACAGGGTGTTCGGCTACCCTTGTGAAAAATTTTAATGGGAGATTCTAGAGGCCAAAATAAGACGAAAATCAAGAACATCAATTTCTTGACTGAGGCTTCACTAATAAGTTATTAAAAAATTTCAAATCATTCTGGAAAAATTATCTTCGATTGCAGGGGTCAATTATAATAACTTTTGGTGAATAGACCTACCCCCGAAATCCTACGCACTTTCGAGAAAAAAATTCGGGAATGTGTGAAATTTTTCGACAAAATTAAAAAATTTCAAATCGTTCTGGAAAAATTATTTTCGGTTGCGGGGGTCAATTATAATAATTTTTGGTGAATAGACCTACCCTCGAAATCCTACCCACTTTCTAGAAAAAAATTCAGCACGGGCGGAACTTTAAACGTTAATAACTTTTTAACGAAGCCTCCATCAACAAATTAGTATTCTTGATTTTCGTCTTATTTTGGCCTCCAGAATCTCCCATTAAAATTTTTCCCAAGGGTGGCCGAACATCCTGTGTATATATGTATATAAGTGTATGTATATATATATACATATATATGCCCACATATATATGTATAACTTATCTAGATCTCGGCGCAGTGTTCACTCGTTTCTCCGTTAATTAATCGAATCCTTAATGCGCTTACATATGCTATCATAACGCTATATTATAATACAAGTGTCTTTTCATTAGCGATCTCCTTGGAAATTCGCTTCTTGTCTGGTCTTGTTCTCCTGGTATCAATGTTTTACGACGAATCTTATCGACAATTGTACGCGCTCGCAGCTTTTCAACTCGATTCTATCATTATTACTCTTCGTCGTTTTCTTTTGCAAACAGATTGATCGATACCATGAATTTGAATCGCCACTTGTTCACTCGGTAATGCTGACATCTCTTGAGGCACATTATGCGGTACAAAGTAAACTCGAAATAATCTCGAAGAAATTCAGATAGACTGTAAACGAAATCTCTTCGAGACCCGTCCGAGGATCGATCGAAACGATCACGATCAGATGGAATGGTAAAAATGAAAAGCAGGTTCGAAAAATTATTGTTACTCGATTACCGTTGGGGATTTTCGACAGGTTTTGTTTTGCTCATTATTCGTTTATGCTTGTACATCACTCTTCTCGCTATCTAACGCTTTAAATTACATCGTTTCCGTGCAGACATGTAATTTTGATTCACAAAACAAACTAGATCAATCTTCTATCGAGGGGGTTGGATAGAATGTAAAGTAGAGAGTAAAAATGACAATATCTTTACGCATAGACGTTCTATGGCACGATTATCCGCATTTAGACGGTGGACATCATGATCGTTCTTTCTACTTAATTGCGTACATCGGCGAGAAGAAATGAATTCATGTTGTAACGATCGACTTTTACTGTCTTTCGCGTGACGGAAATATATATATGTATATATATATATATATACCACTGATATTACGAAGAAAATCCATGTAAAATTTAACTCGCGAAAGTGTCGCGGATTTTGCTATCGCATTTCTGTTTCCTTTTGTTCCTCACGCAAGACAGGTAAAAAGACTCCTTACGTATTCGCTATAAAAATGCTAAGTATGGACTAATAATACGTATGTGGTATGTTAATAAAAATAGAGCTCCAACATTCGGCTAGTAATAGAATGACGTTTATTATCACAACGAGACAGGTCCTGCGTGCCAAAAGTTCTACTCTGCTCAACGTTCTTCATTTTTTTTTTTTTTTTTTTTTTGTTATTTTCAACTTTTACGTCAATTCGGATTGTCCGATGCACGGATGCAGCGATGATACGACGTCGTAAGGCATTTTTTTTCTAAGTCAGTATGTCTTCCGGAGGAGTTCATCATGCACGGGACATCTCAGTGTTGCCCTTCCACCCCCCTTTCATCCTCCGTATCAAGTAAGAAGATATAAATTGCATTTAAGTGATTTCGTGACTGTCAGTTTCAGTGATTCATATTTTTTTTTTGTCGATAATTTGTCATATTGTAGTTCTCGTATTAGTGATCGATCTCGTCAACAATTAACTTTACGAACGTTCAAAAAAGATCCGACGTGAACCCCGAGCCCTTCGTTGCATACTTCGAGTGCTTTGGAATGCAGAGTGCCCTGTAAGTACAACTAAAAGAAGAGCAAATCTTCGTTAAAAAAAAAAATAAGTTTGAACGTTTTGAAATCATCACGTTTCCGAGTTATTTCTGGACAAAAAAAAGCACTCGGGTGTACCTAAATTATGGAACACCCTGTATAATAACAGCTCCCATGAAACCGCTTCACCGCGTGACAAGTATCGGTTTTATTCCGGCCACTTAACACAATCGTTTTAGTCCGCGATTAATTACATCATCGACATCATGCTGCCTAGCTAACCGAACAGATCAAATGGTCATCGTCGTGACTGAACCTGCATAGCAGTTAACAAAACAACCAAGTAACGCAGAATCCCTATAATAATAATAGCGATAATAATATTACTTATTGTAAAAATAACTCTACATTTTGTTCGAGCACAGAACGAATATCGCGGTTTCAACGCGCCTTAATATCCTTTTTGATAAACGTATTATGATTACAGCTTACATCGATTATGGTTTTGCATTTTTATTCGTGTGTCTTTTCACCCTCTTTCTCCGTGAGTACACAATCGCCTAAATGTCGCGTTACAAAGATACTGAGTAATAAGTCTTGGCTTGGTACTTCATTATTACGTTTCATGCATTGCAGTGAATAAAACGTACAAGTCGGTTTCCTTTTTTTTCCCACACAAATGTGTTAATTACGGGATCGAATACCTTAAGCGATACTCTAGCAGAGATTCAAGTATAGTTCTCGGACGTTAATATATTCTCGCGTGCATAATTTTCGTATGAAACTATAAGACGAGTGAGAGCTGCATCGCAGGAAACGTAATAATAATTATTTGATAATTTTGTTGGCTCTGAAACCTAACGCATAAAATACCTAATTAATTAATTTTTCGATACCTAAAACTTAATATTAAACGTTACATCGTTTTAATAAGAATGTGATCGGTTGGAACTAATCGAAGCGCATAATTTTACATCACGTTTATTTTTGGCGACATAGCAGATCTTTCAGAGAATTTATATGAAATCAAGGACAATTGGCGAGTCCGAGCAAATCTCCTACAATAATCTTTTAATATAGCGGCCATATATATATATTTTTTTTTTTTGTTGTTTTTATAAAACTATATGATTGCTTATGTACCGTTAGGAAATCTCGAAAGTCGATTGTTAGCTTGTATCAAGAATCCTTATTTGTACACGTGAAAATTATTTAGCTCTAATTCTTGATCATGTATAATTCAAGTCACCGATGTTGGGTATTGTGTCGCTAAGACAACTTTCGCTATTGTTTTTCATCGTTAAAAAAATTTCAATTGTATTCACCTTGATCGCGATTGGTAACCCGCGCGTATGTTTCGATCTTATTAGTACATCGAATTTTCGTCCCTATAGGTTTTCGCGAATGTTATAGTTACATTCCGTTAATATACATGTTACACAGCGCATATTTAATTTATATAAACTCTGCAAGCCCAGCTTACCATCGTCAAATGCACTTTTTAAGGTTATCTTTATCTGTGTACGAAATCGTTGCTTATATGTGTAAGTGTATAAGTGTTAATAAGTTATCAATAAGAAATATTAGAAAATCTGTATTCCGTCTATAGTTACCACAGTTTCCGTATATATTTCCTGGCCGAGCAATTTTTCATTAGAAAGCAACAATCGACGAATGGTGCCTCGCACCACCCATGCTGTTTTATTGCTTAAAGTATGCAATGCATAAATATTGAACATTTCCTTCAAGTTTTTGGTAGCTTTGTGGAATTCGATTCATATTTTCACATTTCGACTCGTATCGGCGAATATTTCTTTTCAACTGGCATTCGATAAAAAGATGAAGATTTTTCTTATGAAAATAAAAACAGGAGAATATAGTCCTATCATTTAACCTTACTGTTTTTGTACTAAACGATGACGAACGATTAATTCAAGTAATCGAAAGCTTCGTTTTATCCGTAATGGTAACTGCTGGTACATTTTGATCCATTAATCGCTGTTACTAATAAGTGTGAAAATATTATTTACCCTAAGATCGAAGGAAGAAGTAGTTTTCGATACGAAAAAATTGTAATTTTGAATCGACTATCTACTGAAAATGTAGGCTTTTATTACACGAAATCTTACGAAGAGCAATACTGAAATAAGAATAAAATAGCGACAAGTTATAAATAAATCTCATTGGCACATACGACCATTCCTACTTTTAATTCTGCGCTTGTTAGGCATTTTTTTTAATTTTATTTTATTCTGCAAATAATTTATTAAGTAAGTGTATGTATGTGCTACGCACACGTATCGGGAATACACAAAGTCGCATGTAATAAACTTTTAAATCCTTGCACTTGGTTCAACTGATACACTTTTTTCATGAACATTATTCCGTACTGTAAAAAGATCGCATACGTTAAAAATACATATTTCAATTTGCGCAATAGCGCAATCCCTATAATACAAACGAACCGAAAAAATATTATTATTTGATTAAAAACAGTTAAATAATAACCGCCAACACGAGTCTGTTGATTGGTTGAACTGTACATTTTTCTTCTATCAGTGGGCAATGGTTCCACGTGCAATTTTATTTCAACTAGCGAACTTTAGTAGTCTGGCGATCTATGCATATGCCTCTGCTTGCATGCATTTATATACACATATACGCGCGACAAGGTGTTACGTGCAATTCTGTATGTCTGTGTATACATAGTGTGTATGAATATGCGAGCTGCGTGGACGGCGCTACGTACACCACTTTTCGGTCAGTCAACCATTGACGCGTTAATAGTCGACTTTCGTCAGTGTAATTCAGACACCCTTTATTCCACTGGGACTCTTCAGTTCAACGTGTCCTGCTCACGTCAATATATACCGTTGAATAATCTAAAGTAAAAAAAGACGATGTTCTATCATTTTTTGTCGAGACATACTCATGCAAATATATGCTTTTATTTGAAACTTGATACAATTTCAAATAAACATACTTGCATACAGATGTGCTAGAGTTTGTCTTGGAATAGGAAGAGGTTGTTCGTAGCAGCAACAGCTACTACATTTTCAGATGGATGCCATGCAGTGTGTAGTATCTTCCTATTAAAATCCAGGCAGTCGACGGTAATTTCATCTTTTTTACGTTTACCACCGGTACTGACCTTTTACGTAAAGCATTTATGTAAACATCGACGTACAATTACCTTCTACTTCATTACGTATATTTTAAAATGTTTATACCAACCTTACGCGGTTTTAGAAGTGTTTTTGGTTTGGCAATGTCACGCGCTGCTTCCAGTGTCAAATCACGCTTAGTTGTACGATCAAATACTCTGAAGAAATTATTATACGAGCCCGTCATGATAGCAGAATCATTACCACTCCAACAACATTCAAATTTGTCAAAGATGCAATCATTTTCATACAGTGAACATAATTTTGATCTTAGGTATTCATGTACCTGTAATAATGCCATTAATTAATATATTTCGTTAAATGTAACATAGTTAATTCACAGATCTAGTTACATACAGGGTAACATTCAATAGGTCTGGTTTCCATTTGTAAATCCCACACTTTCACACTGAGGTAGTCTCTACTGATCATATATCTTCCTGAATGACTAAGTTTTACATCGCTTATACTCGAGATTATTTCAGAGAAAAAACTTCTGTTGGTTGGATCTTCCTGTTCTTCAAATAGTTTACTGTGTTGGTCACAAAGCGCGGCAGATCTCATGTCACAAAGTCTAATTGTTCCTTTGCTACTACTATATACCAAAACGTTACATTCTGCTGGATGAAATTCTGCAGCAGTTATAACTTCTGTTAACTCCTCCATGTTAGTTGGCTTAATGTCTACTATATCTGTATACTATGGTTAGGAAAATCAAGTCACTTTTTATTCAAAAATTTATATTCTCGTTTACTGATACTACTTAAGACTTCGAAACCGGGAAAGCGGAAAACAAAGCAAACATCGAACGACGTAGAAAAAGGATACTAAAACTCTGATCTGTGATCTCAAGGTGCCATAGATTAATTCTAAGGTCATCAGCACTGAGGTATGTCTCTTGATCACTGTTGACACTTATACTGTTTATATGATAGGTGTGCGCATTGGCAAATATTCTTCTTGGCGACGCTTCCACCATCAACTCCATTGGTTTTATAGACGGTACCTGAGCGAGCAATTAAATGGCTTGATGCGGAACGTACATACACATTTTAAATATCTTATTTCATATAATGTTTACGAAAGCTATAAATAGTTTGTATTGTCGCAATGTCAATGTCTCATAATGTTATGTGCATATTTGAACTCCTTGACCATATTGCTATTGTAAGCAGTTTTGTTAGAAATACAATAGTATAGAAAGCATTATATTTACATAGCGTTATAGAAAGACGAATGCAGTTTAAAATGAATTTATTTGAATAAATTCAATACATATTAATTCGACCGATTTATTTCGTATTGTCTTATCGCGTACTCAAATTTCAAGTGATTCAAAAGTTATTACACGATATAACACTGTAAACGGTAAGTGCAAACTACTCACCCTTAAGGAAGTGATACAAGCAGGATCACGAATCGAACCATTTTCCTCCTTTGTATTGTAACCCTCTACTCTTTTATCCCGCTCGCTAACTTTCCACAACTTAATTGTTTTGTCATTTGTGGAAAGCAAAAAATGCGCAGGATTTTTTCTTTTTAGCCACCTAATTTTATTAATTTTTTCTTCTATCTCTAGTGATTTCAGGTAATCGAACTCGGGTTCATGACTCTGGAAGGTGCTATATACATTGTATTCACCCCTCCGTGGTATACTGTTTTTACTCTACACAAACAATAACATTTTTTCATTGCAGTTATCAATTTCTTTTATCTAAACTTATCTAGATTAACACGTTTGATTAAAACTACTCAAGAACTACTTGACATAATGTAACTATCTTTTCGATCGTGCTTGATGATTATCTTTAAAAATTTTCTAAAGTAAGAACAATCTTGCATACTGTACAAATAAATCTTCTTTAAAGTAAAAGTTTCTCTTTGTTGAAAGCACATAGGCTATCATATACGAGTAAATATAAATACCAGTAATATATAAAATTTAGTTCATATTCAATTCTGTATGTATATATCGATAATTCATTTTTATGAATTCAATTTAGAAATAAAAATAAAAATCATCATAACTTACAATGGGGTCTCTTTGAAAAATAACAACCCGTCCACCTTTATCTCCTGTTGCAAGAAGATCACCATCGTGGTTAAATTCAACACACGAGATTATATCAGCTGGAACATACAACAAAAATAATTATAATCTTGTACAAAACATACTTTCTAAGAATGAAGAAACAAACAAAATATAAATATACTAAAGATTGGTGATTTAATAAATATTTCAGTTAAATACATGAAAATGTATAAAACATTGTGATAATTGCTTGGTAATTCCATAAAATTAAACCTATATTTCCTATATAGTAAACACAAACTGATAAGATAATACTATCAGTGAATATAAAATGATCATAAATCGACCTCACCTTCAGTGACATCGTCTTCTAATGTTCCTTTCACCTGCGAGAAACACCACTGTATGTCACCATTGCCTGTAACACAAATGCAAAAAATACATTGTTAAATGCAAGAAAAATAAGGTTGAAATTTTTGTGAATCGGGACCAAAGCAAAGTATTAGGAGACATTCGAGTAAACAACCGAAAACTCCAATTCCCAATAAAATATATGTAGTCGCATCTAGAACCAGCTTACGAGTTTCTAACGTGTTTATATACAAACGTTATGTCGTGAAAAGAATCGAAAACTCGTAACGCTAGCCGTTCCAATTACATCATGCGTCTCGAATATGAAACCGACAGATGTACAGTGGTGAAAAAGGACGCGTAGAAGTTTGCTCCAAACTTACGTAGTTTATTGGCTCGATCGAGTGCACGTACGACCGAGCTGAAAATGAGAAAAGCGTCGCGAATCGATAAGGACAACGGGGAAGGAAAAGGACGAAACGTTGAAGAAAAATATCGCCGAGCGTGCACCTGCGAGTCATGATAATATATAAACGTGGGAAGTCGAGAGGCGACGGTGTGACTCGTGGACGGAAAATAAAAAACGTGTTTCACGCGAAATAGTGAACGAAGCAAAGAATTATATTGCGGACGAACGAAAGAGCCAAGGAGGGGAAAGCGAAATGGGAGGAAGAGACGGGAGAAAAGGTAAATGTAAGCCTACTTGAAGTTTCGGCGCAATCCATCGTGCTTCTAGGCCGTCGCCGCCGCCGCCGCCGCTGCCGTCGCCGTGGTCGGCGACGGGCGCATCTGGCCCCGCGCACGGCAAGAATCCAGAGAGTGGGTACGGGTGATTATATTTGAGGATGCGGAATTGACGAAGAGAAGAACGTTGCGTGCACCGCGAGCGCTGCGGATATACCCGTGAACCCGTGATATAGTATCTGGGTCAAGGTTCAGGTTGCCGCGGCGCGGCGAGGCGGCCAGCAGGAGCGACGCACCGTTTGCTTCGCACGGCGTGCGATAGAAATACGACGGCGACGAGACGCGGACCAGACACCCGCCGCTTATCACGCTTACTTACCGGCCATCTCGCACATGAGACACTACGCGACCAGAGAGATCCGCACGCGCGAGCTCACTCCCGGTGCGAGGTCCAATATACCGCCTACTCTATCAGAGATACAACACTCGCGCGCGGCGCGCCACGCCGGCGACCAGAAGCCAGCAAAACCTTCACGATTAATCACGACACTCTCGCCGAACCTTTTACCGTGTCACATATTCGTCCATCTAACCCGCCATTGATCTGAACACGATCACGGACTTTCAATGGCGGAATTCACGAACGCATAACCGCACAACACTACTATGGCGTGACGTCACACCGCAGCCAGGTTTCGCTACCTCCACGGGAACCGCCATCTTGTACGCGAAAACCGATTGCGCGCGAATCACGACGAATGTTGCCGACGATCGCCGACCATTCCACGAACTTCGTAACCCGCAATATTCAAACAGCAACTCCGAACTATTACGATTATGGGAGTTTTCATCGTTTTTATAGGATATTTCTTTATTGATATCTTATAAAATATATCATACTGTCAAATCGAAATGTTTTCTACTGCTTTCTATTGTCCTCTCCCACTGTTTCAACAGAAATTCTCATTTTTTCAGCTAATGAAATCATCGATAGATTTTCGAACTTCTTTAGCGATTTTCAGCAACTAATCTAATGATCTTTATTATGCAGACTTGTGTCGCTACGATTACATTGTATCTCAATTACATCGAAATTCATTTTACATCGTAATTGAATTGCAGCTCACAACGTTGAAGGACCGAGATTAATTTATTTATAATCAATAGACTACCACAGTAAACGCACATTAAAAGGAAAGTTTACCTAGGAGTTCCGTGAGTTTCTCGTGCAGTTCGTCCAGGGAGGAAAACAGCGGCACATCCCTGGACAAGTGTACAAAATTCTTGGTCGAGCGAAAGTCTGCCATCGACCGGTCCATTTTTAGCGAAGCTTAGAACGGCGTTCGGTGCAAAAACAATTAATTGTTCGTCCCTTTTTCGTTTCCTACTCGCGAGAAAAAACCGACGAAATGCGAACGTACACCGGCTCGCGCGTCGTCAAAGTCGAAACGAGTCGCACACTCCGAACGCGTTCAAAAGCGAAAAGTCATTGTTTCGCTTTAGTAGATCTCGTCGATACATTCTCGATACGGTCTCGGCGTCCGGCATGCATTGAATATTAATACGACTTTTCCCCGATGCGGATTGATCATCGAGCATTCTAGGCTCAAACTTTTCCAACGAAACACGAACTCGACGCTCTACTCGAACCCACGAGTATTCAGGTCTTCCATACATTCGCAAAGATTCCGTAAAATTTACATCGACTGTCAATCGACCGTGAATACGTGTCTCCGATTAACTTCTGACCCTTCGCTTCGCCTCGAGAAGTTTGAAAATATTGTCCTATCGTCTATATTATCGGATCTCGTTTTGAATTTGCTTCTTTTCCGATACACCTGCAGAACACCGTAACTCGAAATTTTTGAAACATTATTCACGACTCGACGTGGCTCGTTTTAAATTTAAATTCTAATCACGATGTGGAGTACGCGTCGAAAGAGACGACCGATAGTATCGAACATGATCGAGGCTTGCGACTAGTCTTGAGGACGAGTTTTCAGAACGAAAATTACGCAACCGTATCGATACGGATTCGCTTTACGTACGCACTGTAATTGATTAATTGGCTCTAAACGCAGTCAGCGCAAGGACCGTTCTCTTCCTCGTCGTGTGTCAACAAACGATCGATTTTCATATCACTCGCTCGATCGAACAATTAACTTAGGCTCGAATAGATTAAACAAATAAACGGAGACAAACGGTTGTTTTGCACGGCGCGAACGTTAGCGAATAGAACGACGCACGGGTCTGTCTCGAACTGGTACGAAAGTGTATGAGCTCGACCGACACACGAAACTCGCGTTGTCGAACGCGTTAGAGGCAGCATGTTAATGAGTTTGCTCTAACAAGCGTGCACACGCGGTGCAACGTTTACCTCGGCACGGTATTTGCTATGAGTCAAGTGCGAGTGTGTCCGAAAAGTATAAACGAAAAGGGAAACAAGTAGCAATCACGTGGCCGTTCGGGGTGGAGATTCCTCCTTCTGCTCTCCACTCGACAAAATCCTCGAACAATTCCAATTTAGATACACCGTCGACCAGGGAAAATGTTAACTCAAAGTGTTAACTATTTCGTTATAAATATTAGCCATTGTAGGGAGCAAAAAAGTTCAAAGAATTATTGCAATATAAAACTCATTTTAACGGGAAAACAAGGTCGAACGGGGCATACGCGTGTACAACGTTATCTTATTATTTCTATGTGCAGAATCAGTTGCTGAAGCGGGCCCCACATGCTGCGGGGCACCCTGTACACTGTTTCTCTACCGTAAATAAAGAAATATTTACTTCGACCAGAGAGCAGAAACAGGAAAATTGTAACGCAGCTAACGCTTGTTCGGTTTTGCAGAAAAATTGCTCGAATTCGGTGCGCGTGGTTGGTCCGGGTACACGACGAGTTCTCCTTTAAACTCGCACGCCTCGAATTCTTTCCGCATCCACGGCAAAATCGATCGCACCACACGTGCGTTCCGCATCGTTAAAGTTTCGAACCGTGTTTTTTTATCCGCCAAAAGCGAGTCGAACGACGCGAACGACCGATTGATTCAAAAAACCGTGACCGTGCGTCCGTTTACAAACTTTTTCTACTCACAGGAATAATATTCGTGGCCGTTGTTCGAGTTCTCGTCTTTCGGTTTTGCATCCTCGATCAGGCTCTTAGTTAGTCCGTCAAAGGCAGACCTTCGACATTTGACACGAGTTCGCGAAATCATGTTCGACGACGATCTTCGAGAAACGTTTCTGCCAAACACGATCACCGTCTACGACCGCGGCGACAATTGTTATTGCCGCATGACGTCGATTCCTCGCGAATTTACCAACTGATCGACGAACGTTAGGCCACAAAATTTCGCGGCGATGTGTTCGCGAGCAGAACGATAATAGTGGGGATCAAATTCGATACGCGCCGATCGATTATCGTGAAAATTTTGTACCTGGTCCGACCAACGGAACGGAAAGTTCGCGCGTTCTTGGCGAGATGTCTCTATATCATTGATTTGTTGATTGAAAAATTCGGATTCGATCGATCACGATCTATAGAGGGAAAATTTCCTTTCATACGGATGGATCTAAAGCAAAGAAGTTCCCACAGGCGTGGCTGCATTTTGTTCTTCTAGAGGAATCGAACAGAAATTTAGTATCTATGTGAAAGCTAACAGTTATATTACCGAAGTCGAAGTAAACTGTTAAAAAATAGAAAGTAACGATAGTTTATTATAAAATATAAAATTGCACTCATCCAAAACGAGATCTAGATCATTTGTTGGTGGAGATCTATTTTATCGGAGAAAAATAGGGAAATGATGCATCGTTTATTATCGTAATCGTAGGTACGTTTGTTCTTTGGAATCTTTTGTCCCACGATACAATAAAACTCGCGATATGCTTGATCCCATCGCTGGACGGGAGACGATCAGCCACGATCGATACGGAGACTCGTATTACGAGTAACTTTCGCCCGAGGTACTTGTTACGAAACTTTCACGATACTCCATGCAGTCTTTGCATTTCGAACGCGAGTTCAAGCGTTTAATTTACAATTTATTACGCGTGTCGGCGTGTTTCCGCCTATATTCGCCGAACGCATTAAACGTGGCCCCTGTGGAACGACAACCCGGCTCCGTCTACGGCGCGTAGATGCGGTCGGTTCAAGGCGCAAACAATCTGCGTCACTCGCACGTTCGAGGATCTTTCTGCGTCTTACGTTCCATTAATCGTTAAAGCAAATGTACCGATAACTGACCAGAACAAATAATGTCCCAATCTATTTAAAAGTACTAAGTAATAATACCAAACAATAACTCTGTCCAAGTATCTTAGTACCCTTAAAATCACATCGAGAAGTCTGGTAAAGATTATAACACCGATGTGTAAAGATGTAAACAATTATATCTAGATTGTGCGTTTAATTTTATCTGGTACACTGTACGTAAAAAAGAGTTAAGAATCATTGCCTTGGAACGAAATCCGTTCTACAGGGGAGCGGAATTTTTTTTATCGTGCTCGAGCCACTGTCTTGCCCGGGGGAAAAATTAGTGTTCCCAGTCGTTAAGCATTTCGGGATGCGGAGGGATTAATAAAGCGTGTCGAGACAGAGGAGAAGTGGAAAGTAAAGGGTGGGGGGGAGAAAAGAGACGCGAAAAGAGGAACGAAAAAATAGAACTCACCGGCTCTCTTGTTCACGGCGGTATTGATCATGGAACCGAGCTTGGTGAGGCTGGACTGCCTCATGATGTTGGAAGGGCTCTTCATCCGTTTGGACGGTGGTACCGGAAGCGGGGCGGTCTTGGACCTCGCCAGGATGGCACCGTTCCGACAGTTTCCGTTTGGACTGGAACCGGGGGGCCGCTGGGGCGGAGCCCCCCATAGACCCACCACCCCTGCGTGACGCGTGGTGATATTTCGCGTACTTCAACCCTTTTCCACCTGTTAGCCTCCCGATTGTCTCCGACGTCAGTCTCCACCTTTGACTCGTCGATCCTGCAACCACGAAACGGTCCCGCGATAAGTTGAAAATCATACATTGTATTTTACTCTATGCTTATTATTACTTCTAATTTGCTACGCGCGTTTCCTGGTTTTCGAAAACTTATTTTAGAACTAGGAGAAACTCGTACGATGGACAATCTAGCGGGGAATGCGTGTTTCCATCGCGAAGATTGTCACCGTAATCCAAAGACTTTCCACCTGTTGGACCGGTCCCGGGCGTCTCCGGCGCAAATCCTCTTTGTGTCGCCTCGTGGCATCTCGAGAACCCGGAAGAAAGTTCGCGAGTGCTCGCGCGGAGGCCAGTCTCGCAGTTTCCCTGACTTTTGATCTCTTTTAAGCGCGATATCGCCCGAGTGCAGGGGTGCGCGAGCGTCAAAGCGACCGGTTGAAAGGCGCGCGCGTGAATGCGCTCGCTTTTCGGTATAGGTGTGCACACCCCAGAGACCGTTCGACGTGTAAATGCATAAATATCATCGGGGAACCGAGATAAAGAGGGCAACAGGTGTAACCGGCCGCGATGAGAAAGGGATTAAAAGTGAACGCGAGCGCAAATACGCGGAAGTTGAAAGAACGCGTCGACGCGGGTCGCTGCGCCGAGACGAGGCGTAACAGCTTTTCCCAAAAATGCGAACGGAAAATCGAAAAAGCGTGGGTCTGGTCGGCCTACGTTGCATTGTACCATTTATTTTTGCTTTTCGAAAGCGAAAAAATGTTTCGTACCGAAATGGGATTTCCCGTTGAATACGGCAAAACCAGATTACGGAACGACTAACGACGAAAA